GTGACAAATTTCGGATGTGATAAATATTGATCGACAAAAAAAAACGGCAGAAAAAAACGGCAAACTACACGATTATCTGTTGCATGAGTATTATTTAATAATGATACACTTTTTTTTTTCAATAAATGATGTAAAAATAAACAGATTTCCGTAATCAGTCGATTAAATCATGTGGTCAAAAGTTGGATGAATTTCAAATAAAAAAAAAAAAGTAATATGCAATGTTTATATACTTTATAATATTTACTACATTAGCATTATACATGAAATTAGATTCTATTTATGATTATGTTATTATAAAATCATTATTATCATTATTATAAAAATTACAATTGCGTCTATATGTATCCAGAAACATTTCAAAGATCAGTTTTTTGTTTTTTACCTTGATCATCTGTTGTAGTTGTCTGAGGTGTATCTTCTTCTCTAGATCGTTTGATTTGAGCAGTAGTTGATGTTTCCAAAGGACCTCGATACCTTTGTAATTTTACTGGTGGTTTAGATGCTTCTTCGGGTTTAGGTGTGTCTTCAGAAATTTTTGTAAGAGCCTCAGGTGTCTCTGTTGGTTTAGCAGGGGGTGTTGGTGCTTCCATAATAGGTCTAGAAGCTACTTCAGGATTTGGAGTTTCAGTAGGGTTAGATGTGGTAGTTTCAGGCTTTGAGATTTCTAGAGGTTGTGCTGCTGGAATAACTTCAACAGTTTGTAAAGAGGTCTCCTGAGCTTTTTTTAACTCAGCAATTTCATTCTCCAACTTTTTATTTTTAGTGGTCCACATGGTTTCTTGAGACCTTAATCTTAATAACTCTGTTTTCAATTTCTGAGCATAACCTTTTAAATTCTCAAACTGCGGATATAAAGAAAGAAATTTGTAAAAAAACTCCAACTAATCAATATAAATATAAATAAATACATCTATAAACTTACTTGTCCCTTAAGGGTTTGAAAATTCTTGGTAGTAGTTTGATCCGCTTTCTTAGATTGAAGTATTTCTTTATTTAAATCATCGATTTGTTTCTTTGAATCAGTAATTTGTTTTTTAAAGTTGGCTACATCAATTCTTAATCTTGAATTCTCTGCTTTTAATGTGTCTCTCTCTACTTTTAATGCATCTTTTTCTTTAATTAATGCATCCTTTTCTCTCATTAACACGTCCTTTTCTTTCATTAATGTGTCCTTTTCTCCTTCGGATTTTTTCAATTTTTCTTTAGTTTGTTCAAGTTCATCTGGATCACTTATTCCATGTTTTTCTAAAACTACGTGAAATCGTTCTCTCCACCAATTTCTATCATTTTCTACAAGATTTAGCTCTTTGGCCGATTTTTCAATTTCTAATTTTAATTTCTGTATTTCACCTTCAATCTTAATTTTATCATTATTAGAATTTTCAATTGATTTATCTGATTGTTCAATAAAACTCTTCATTTTATCATAGTCAGATCTAAGAGTTCTGTTACTTTCTTCAAGTATCTTAACTTGATTTTCTTTTTCAAGAAGTTGAAGTTTCAATTGTTCTAAATCAATTGATTCTTTTTGTTCGCGTTCCTTTTTTTTTTTTTAAATCAAAACAATTAATATATATAATAATATGGTACAATTTATAATACAAAATCAATTACTCACTTTGTTCAATGATTCTTTCAATTCATCAGCAGTCTTTTGTAACAATTCAAGTTGTGCCTTGTATTTTTCAACCTGTTGTAAATAGAATTCTCTTTGATTTATTAATCTCTCATTCTCTTTTCTCAATATTGGTATCACTTGATCTTCTGACATGTCAACATTCTTATCAAAATAACCTTTAAGAACCTTGTTGTTTTCCAAAAGAAGATTATAATCATTTCTTAATGTAGTCAATTCTCTCTCAGAATTTTCTTTTTGTTGTCTCAACGAAGAATCTAAAATTTGTTTTTCATTCTTGGTCTTTTCAATATCTAATTGTAGTTGTGAATATTTTTGTCTGACTTCAGTTAACTGTTGAGAATCTTTGACATTAATTTGAAGTTGATAGTTATAATTGTTTTGTAGTTCTGCTAACATATCTATATGTTTCTGAATTTCTAAACGAAGCAGTGTCTCATCTTCTTTTGATTTATTATGTAGATCACTTAATGTTTTTTCCAACTGTTCCTTTTCAATAGTCACCTCTGTAAGTCCTTGATTTATTATAGAAAGCTCATTTTTCATCCTTTGAAATTCTTCATCTTTTTTATCAAAATCTTCTGATCGTGACTTTTGAAAAAAAAGCAAATAATTAAAAAATTAAAAATAAATCCTGACGACTAATTTATAATAATTATAAATTTGGTTTAATTGTTTAACTATGTTTACCTGGAATTCAGCTCTTTCTTTTTCTAGAGTATCTTTTAAGTGTTCATAATCTTGTTTTGTATTATTGGAAATTATTTCAAGTGTTTCAAGAGAATTCTTAAGAACATCCATTCCCTTATTCAATACATTAATTTCTTCATTGGCAGAATCCAAATCATGACTCAATTTATTAATTAATGCTCCTTGTTCATTTTGCTCATAAACTGACAATTTTTCTTGAGATTGCTTGAGTTCATTAGATTGCAATTCAACTTTTTTCTTTAACTCTTCAATTTCAGTTTGTAATTCAACAACCTTACTATTTGCTTGTTTAGAAGAGTCTACGAGTTTTTGATTTTCTCCAGTCCATTTAAGGTTTGCATTAGAATATCTTTCACTCAGATCTGAGAGTTGTTCTTTAAGATTTTCATTTTTAGCTTGTGCATTTATTAATTTTTCTTGAGTTTGGTTATACTTTTTCTCAAGCTCTTCGTTAGCTTTTTTCAACAACTGTACTTCATTATAAGAACTTTCTGCTTTCTCTTTAGTAACATGCAAGTCATTTGATCCTTTAGTATAATCTTTTTGTAATTCAGATAATGTATTTTTAGTTGAATCCAACTCTGTTTTTAATTTATCAACCTCAGCACTCATTACTGTTCTATCAACATCTGCCTATAAAATAATTTACAAATACAATAGTAATTAGTCAAATATCAATTAAACACCTGTATATACTAAATAAGCACTCATATAAAAAATAAATTAAATACTTTTGTAAGTAATGCTTGAATTTGTTTATTTAATTTACTAGTTTGATCTGATACTTGCTTGTAACTCTGACACTCTGTTTCCTTGAGGTTAAGACGTGTTTCAAGGAGTTTATTTGTATCTAAAGATTGTAAATTATTCATATTTTTTTTTTTTTTTGAAAAAAAAAGATTAAAATAGATTAAATGATATTTTATATATGTACATGCATGAATGATTAATATTTGAATAAATACCCTCTAAAGTTTTCTTTTGATATTCAATTTCTGATTTCTGAAGCCGATAACTATATAATTCTTTGTTTGCAATTTCCAATTTCTCTTCAACATTTTTCAACTCTTTTGTAATCATTTCATTATCCATCTATTAATATACATCAACATAAATATAAGCATAAACATATATATATATATAAATATAAATTAAGTCAATATGTATATAATATTATTTGGTTTACCTTTAATTTTGAGCTTTCTTTTTCAAGATTGAGTAGTTTTTGAGCAGAAATTCCTTGGATATCATCATTTGATAAATTCTTTGATAAATTATTTGATTTGATATAATTTGACAACTCGTTATGCAAATTTCTTTCATTTTCAAGTTCTGTACTTAATAAATGAGCCTGACTTTTCATACGAATATTTACACCTTTAATAAATTTAATAGAATCCATTAATCTTTCTTTAGTGTGTTCTAAATCTTTAATTTGATCTTCAAGTTTCTGAATCTTGATCTTATAACATTTTTGTTCAGCTTTGACTCTTGTATATTCTTCGACCAATTCTGAAACATCTTGTGGAAAATTTGATCCAGAAGATCTGCTGTGTATCCCAACGATTGAAATATTTGGTCCACTTTGTTGAAGATCTTCAATGGTTCGAATCAAACTTGTGTTATGATCTAGGATTGTTTGTTTTTCTTTTTTAATAAAATTATTATTATAGAATTAAATCATTTGATTATTTAATTGTAAAAGCCACAATTATTAATTTTTTCTTCAAAATAAATTTTAACAATAATTTACCAACTGTCAATTGTGTTAAATATTCATTAAGTTGATTATTTTCAGTATGAAGACTTTGTACCTAGAAAAAGAAAATTATATTTTATATGATAAATAAATAGATAAATTTATATTTATATATAATATATCTTAAGGGCGCGTTACCTCTTCATTTAATTGTTTAACTTCTTCATTTCTTAAATTAAGTTGTATTGATAAATTATTACACTCGTTAAGTATTCTTGAGATCTCCTCTCTTCTTTCTTGAACTTTTGGCACCTAAAATCATTAATTAATTATTACAAACAATAATATTATAAAATTATTAAATGATAAGAGTATAAATTTATTTACATATTCTTTGATTTTTTTGTTTAGATCATCTAATGCTTCTGACAATTTTTTGTTCTTCTTTTTTTCTTCAGATAATTGATTATTAAGTTCTTGTCTTGAATTATTCTATATAATTATCATCATGATTGTTATTTTTATTATTTAATAAAGAATTTTAATATATTTATATATACAATATTAATATTATTTTTTATCACATAATAATTTGTCTATAAATATAGATACCAATTCAATGACATTCCTATTCTGTTGATCTAATGATTGCCTTAAATTTCCAATGATTATTGATTCATTGGTGGTACCAACATTAGATGTATAGTCAGTTGCACCAATTGTAGGAGTAGTTGGAGTATTAAAACCTTGTGCGAGATGGTTTGTATTAAAAGCATTAAAAAAAAATGAACATACATTTAAAAAAGATTTGCTAGGTGTTAAATGATTATATTAGTCATACCAGGTATTGATGAACCAATTGGAGTGACTTGTGGATAGCTCGTAGGCCTAACAGATGTTCCTGTCTCATTAGGAGTGCTTCTTGATGTGATTATGTCACTATTATTATCATTATTTGATTCAGCTGGTAGATTATCATATCTTTGTTGTAAACCTTTGTTTGCGATTGTAAGGATTTCAATATCTTTTTCATACTTATTAAATATTATATAATACATTATTATATATAAGTAATATTTATAAAACGTTGTTCATATATTAAAATAAATTTTGAATTACTTGAAGACATTTTTGCTCTAGTTCATTAGTTTTGCTTTTATAACTAGAAATTTCACCTTTATGTAATGAAAAGGAATATAATTTATATTAGAATAATTAATGTGAAGAAAACCAATTTTCATAATATAAATATTAATTGGTCATGTCAAACTCACTTTCTAACATTTGTGAGTTACTTTTTTCCTCGAATAATTGTCTTTTCACTTCTTCATATTGGTTCTTGATGTTAATTTTACCAGATCGAAGTGTATTGACGTTACCCTCCAATTCTTTTTTTTCTTCTTGAAGTTCATGAATTTCTCCAAGTTGTCTTTTCACTTGTGAGGAAAAATAACTAATCTTATCCTCTGCAATTTTATAATCATCACGGAACTTATCCCTCTCTTGTTTAAGATCATCAATTTCTCTATCCTGATTAAATATTATTAGTTTAGATAAATATTTATTCTAATAAAATAAATAAATTATAAATTATATGAACATATACTTTAGAATTTTTAATTTCCATCATTTCTTGTTTCAAATTATTTATTTCATCATATAAAGAATTAACATTTGCATTGAGATAATTATTTTTGTTTTGTGCTTGTTCCGCTAAATTCTAGATTTTATTAAAAATAATTTATTAAGTAAATAAACAAACAAAACATTAAAAAAATTACTTTTCTTTATTTTATCACCTTCCAATGTATTATATTTTCATTTGATTCTTTTAGTTCATTTTCCCGACATTTCATTAAATTTTGAAGTTCGCTCCGACTATCAACAACTTTATCTAATTCCTCTGTTAATTTAAACCAACTAATTGTAAATAAGTATGAAATGAAATAATCAATCAATCAACCAATCAATAATAAAATAAAATTTACGTTTATAATTTAATATTTCTTCATCTTTTTTATTTAGTGAAATTGTGAAAATTTGTTTCTTTTCTTCAAATTGTACACTGATACTATTGTAGTCACTTTTGATTTTAATAAGCTCATTATTGGTATTATCAAGATTTTCCTGGAGAGATATAATCTTGTATTCTATACAAAAAAATTATATGTAAATTTTAAAACTATTTTAAATTTTCAATTAAAAAGGCGCACTTGGAGATTGTTGGTTTTTTTTTACCTTTAGACTGTACTTGTTTTTGGCAATTTTGTATTTCAAGTTTTTGATCGAGGATTTTTGATCTTAAAGTGTTTAGTCTTTGCACTGCATTGTGACTTATTGTGCCTATTATATGTTAATATTTTTATTAAATTTTGTTCGTGCGTAATAAATAATAAACAATGTAAAAAAAATATATATATATCTACCAAGCATCAAATGTTGTTTTTCAGAAGAATGTGATTTTTGAGATTCTATATCATTCTGTCTTTGAATATGATCGATCCTTTCATCTGGAACGACTTCTATAAAATTGTTTTGAATATTTTCTTCACTCATTTATAAATTTTTTTCAAATTGAAAGACTGTCACCATGTGACATAAATTAAAGTGACTCGCCTCACTCACTGTACTACAAATAAAAATTTTCAATGTTTTACAAAAATATCAACAAACTTTCTATACGTTTTATATATTTAAAAAGCAAGGTATAAATAAATTTAAAATAAAATCATCATTTTTAATATTTACTTACTCTGACGCTTTTAAAAAAAAATTTTTGAATTAGTCATGGGGTCCACATACTGGACTTAATAAGGTTAAGCTGGTAGAAATTAGTCCTCGCCAACACACAAAACAAATAGTTGAGGAAGAAACAAAAATAAATTTCATCAATCAACTATCTAAAACAGGACTTAAGGTTATAGAGGTAACTTATTTTATGGCAAACGTATATAATTAGATAAATTTGCATGACACATATCAATATATGTTATCAAGATTGATTTGGCTTTGACTCAATTCGATCTTTAATTGCGTTCGACTCGATTATTTATACGTTTTTCATATGAGACGCGTCAAAGAGTCACCTGATTGAGCAAAGTGATCAACTTATTTCTACCGATACATGTTAAAATATTGAATTATTTGATATTATATAATAGATGGGTGATGCATATGAGTTAATGGCAAAAATTACACAAGAATCTGGAGTGGATTACACTGCTACAGTTTCCAATATTCATGAACTAAATAGGGCAATTATTGCCAATGTTAAAGATGTGGCGATATTCAGTTCTGCTTCAGAAACTTTTTGTAAAAAACATTTTAATTACTCTATTAAAGAAAGTTTAGAGATCTATCATTATTTAGTGGATCGTGCTAATGCAGAAAATATTGCAGTAAGAGGGTATATAATGGTTTTATAAAATTTAGGTGTGATTAAATAACTATATATATCTATTTGTTTTTATATTAATAATATATTTTAGTCATATCTCTTGTGCCTTAGGATGTCCTTACGAAGGCGAGGTTAAACTTTCAACAGTGGCAAAAATAGCTGAAAAGATGTACAAGATGGGATGCTATGAAATATCATTAGGAGATACAATAGGTGTTGGGACTCCTGGTAAGATTTCATGCTCTCACAATCGAGCTAATCTATTTTTTAATAAATAAAACAACTTTTTCTAATTAAGATTATTATTTTAAGGTTCAATGCTTAATCTTTTAAATATTGTAAAAAAGCATGTGCCTATTGAACGAATAGCAGTACATTGCTGTGATACATATGGGCAGGCTCTTGCAAATATATATTGTGCTTTAAAGGTTATTTTAAATTTTTTTCATCATTTTTTTTAAAAAAAAAAAAAATACTAAAATTAAATTAAAATTTTAAATTAGAACGAAATAAGGATATTTGATAGTTCAATCGCAGGGTTAGGTATTAAAAAAAAGCCAAAGTTTTATTGATTATCTTTTTGGATATTTTTTTAAATAATTTACTTTTTAATATAATATTGCATATTTATTTCATCTCTAATACATGAATATTTTTTTGTGACAATAGCTAAGGAAACTGTTGCAACAGAAGATATAGTGTACATGTTAAATGGGTTGAATTATTATACTGGTGTTAATTTAGAAAAAATGATTGAAGTTGGAAATTACATTTCACAATACCTAAATAATCCAAATAAGTCAAAAGTAGCTATTGCTATTGCCATTGCCAATAATAAATCAATTGAATAATTTTTACAGGTTCAATATGTTCTTTAAAATTCATGGTAGACGGTTGTATTTATCTTTTGTAAAGAGGTAAACAAAAAATTTCAGCATCATTTTCATGGTGTGCAATGGAGAAAGATATCTATCTATCCATGAATCCTATCATATTGTATTAAAAAATTTTGCTAAGAGAAAAACTAATATATATGTGCGTATGAGTTGCTTTTTTCATTTATTTTTGTAAAGCTTGGTCAATCCTATAAAAATTGACTGACCAATTTTAATTGACAACATTTATAATTTATTTTAGAATTGGTTTTGGTTTTGATTTTCATTATTTTTTATTTGCATCAATTAAGCTTTGATAAAGATATCTAAATTCATGTTTTTCTAGACCTTTTATTTCAAAATATTATTCAAAAAATCCTTTAAATCCAATCTTTTATGACAACTATCTACTTGATAATGGCAACTAGCAGGGTTATGAAAAAACCCCAGATCATTTACAACTTCTACAATAGTTTCATATTCAACTAAATCCTAAACTTGCTGAATCAATTGATTTTGAGAGCACGTTATACATTTGCGCGAGAGCATTTCTGCTGTAATGACACCTCTGAGAATTTTATCATTGAGATTATAGATGCCTCACAGATGCACAAATCTCAAATTATTACTTTTGATTCCTTTGAACATACCAACAATAAAGATTTTACTACCGCAAGCTATAGCCTTTGTTGTTAATAAACGTAATCCTAAAATTCATGATTTTGCGCGTGAGTCTCCCATATTCCTTGATTCCTTGAACATATAAAAATATCTTCAAACATATTGGTATGATGGCGTTATTGCTTGGAAAATTTGGTGCAGTTCCGATAATAACTTATTCAATGTTAATAATATAATAATAATCAATTAGATGTAAATCTTATTTGTTTTTTCATAAAAATATAAAATAAAAAAAAAATATATATATAAAATAATTTTTTTCGTAAAAATAATATGTAATCTAATAAAAAATATTTGAAGTAATTTTCATAATTTAAGAAATATATATATGAATGTTGTATGTGTATGTATAATATATATATATATATATATATATTTATATTAATCTTTAAATTTTATATGTGCGTAATATTTTATACACATACATATAAATATATATATATATATATATAAATATATATATATAATATAGCTATTTACAAATATAAGTCCATTGAATAAAATTTTTTCTATAAAAATATATATAAATATGAAATAAAAAAAAATATTCTAATAAATTGTAATAATCAACATATATAATTATATGATTGTTATTTGTTTTTAAAAAGCAATGATGAGTGTGTATTATTTGGTATTAGAAGTGTTATTTGAGTCGGTTACAACTGCAACGAGAATAGATATATCATCTTTCTTTCCACCCACAAAATACAATCCTTCTTCTGTAGCACGACTTTCAAATGGACTTTCATAATTGGCGTCTTCACTAGCTTCTTTTGCACGCCAAGCAAGAGCATCACTTATTATTTGTGGATGAACTTTTAAACCACCTTTTATTGAACTAAATTGAATAATCTCATCTAATATATCATCCTTATAAAGATTGTCAAACAGTCCGTCTGAACCCATTACTATAATATCACCATATTGAATTTTAATGTTGAAAGTTTGAGCATCTTTTTTTGGAGTATTAAGAGAACCAGTTCCCAATTGATATGGATAGTTAAACGAATTTTGTTGCTCTTCGTTACAAAATATAAATCCATTTTGACGTATAACACCAATACCACAATCGCCAAGGTTTGCAATTCGAAGTTCATCTTCATGTAAAATAGCTATCAAAGCAGTTGATGAGCCAATGATTCCCTTTTTTATTTTAATAAATTAATAGTGATATAATTATTAAAATGTAGATAATTATCATCGTCATCATCATCATTATTATAAGATCTTTACCTCCATTGTACAATCGCGTAAAGTTTTTTCATAACTTGCTTGCATAATATTACCAGGTTGAAAATTATCATGGTTGAAAAGTTGATCTTTTCCAAAATTATTATGATATTTTTCAATTTCTGTTAACGAATAATGCATCAATTTTCTAGAATATAATGATGAATCTACAACTGTAAATAATTCAAAAAACAGGAAATTAAAAAAATATTTATGATTTAAATAAAGGATAGAATGAATGAAAGAAAATACCAACCGACAGGAGACGATGGTTTAATATTTTTCCAACCTCCAACACCATCGGCAACACCTAAAGAGTCATGCCTTCTGAAGAAGCTATCTTCACCACAAGCAATACTAGAGTATGATCCATTAGGTATAGTTGAAACTAACCTCTCGGAATTTTTTGGAATACCAGAAGCACCATGAGCAAAAATAAATGGGTTATGCGTAGCGGGAAAGGGTTTATCAAAAAAGTCCAAGATTGTATAAGGTGGAGTATTTTTTGTTGTTAAGGAGGTGGCCTCAAAAAATTTCTTTGGTTTAGAAGAGTGAGGCGTGAAAGCACAACTTGATATTCTAAAATTTGGTGAACTAGATGAGTGAAAAGGACGGCAAGTTACTCTTGAGAAGGAGGAAGCTAGACCAAAGAATGAATATGACTGGTAGGAATGAGCTGTAGAAGTACGAATATTTAAAGGAAAGGAAATTAAAGAAGTAAAAGATTTGGAAGAAGGTATTTTGTTGAAATAAAATTGTATATTTTTTTGGATTGTCGGATTTCTTTTAAACAATAATTTGACAGGTTTTATCGATCGATTTAGTGTGTTACACATTATTACCAATTATGTATGTGATTGTTTTTTTTCTACGTAGAAATTATTATAATAAATAAAATTTTTAGGGCGATTTTTCAGAGATTTCTTTGTAAAAAAAGAAATAAATTGCCTTCAAAAATAAAACAAATCAATTTTTTCTCGAGTATTTATATTGAAGACGCGTGCAACAATCAATTATAACTTTTGTGAAAAAAAAAATAAAAAAGAAGGAATTATTTTTTTATTAAATTTATAAAAATAGTGAATAGTTTATCTTTTGATCAGGAATCAGGAACAAAAAAAAACATTCATTGCATTTGTAGTACAAACAAAATTAAAATTAATCCGAATTGGTGAAAAACTAGATTCACTGGTAGTTTTTATATTTTTTACGACGTGAGTAAAACAAAAAAAAATAGGTTTATTGAATGAATCAAATATATCAAGCAGGTGATATAGCAATATTTATATATACTAATTAAAATTTATCAGATAGGCAATTGATTGTATTGATTAATTGATAACACCTTGGTTAATTTTTGCTCAAATTTTTACAAGTAGTTTTCCTTTGTTAAATCTCTAGAAACATTGTTAAACCATCTTTTTATAAAATTTTCTTTTTAAAGGTTAATAATATTTTGTTTAGGGAGAGAATCCAGATAACTTTTTTTTGTAATATTTCCTGAATGAAGGGAAGAAAGTATCTGACCAAACCTCGCCTTTATTAATTGCGCAAAATCTTCTTAATAAAAATATATTATCGTGCAGCTTAAACTCTAACTAATATGCATGTAAAATTTTAATGTTTCTTCAAGTTGTCTCATATTTTCTCAGAATTTTGTATATTAATATACATAAAAATTATGTCAATAAATTGTCCAGGTTATCGAGAATTAGTTTATAATTTAAAACCAAATAAATCATTAGATTGAAGATCAATTATAAACGAAGAACCTTTTCAATCAACCCAATAGAGAGCATTTTTGGAATGAACTTGAAAAGGCGAAACAATAGCAACGAATCATTTCCGTATATAGTAAATAGTGTCCATATTAACGAATCATTTCCGTATATAGTAAATAGTGTCCATATTAATATTAATATAATTTCCCCATTGGTTTAATATTTCAATTTACTCGGACAATACTCCGTTCATAGTAATACAATAATGGTGATTTATAGTAATGATTTCTGAAGCCAAATTAAATTACAAAGAAAACTTTATCTTCATTTTTATTGGTTGCACTTTCCATGGTCAATGTTATTCCGCATCAACTTCACATGGGAGGAGGCATTCATTTTACCGATAACTCGGGGGTTACATTTAACCTCCACATAATCAAACAACTAATAAAATGCTAAAATGAAGCACCGTGAGTTGTTGGTAAAATGAGGTAAAATGATGTCGGTAAATACGCACCCCTTCACACTACCCTTTAAACCATGTCTCTCCCTTAAATGAGCTCATTGTGGCACTTTCACCTGATCCTACCGTTTCTGGAGGAATCAATGGTTTTGTTTCCGGAACGATATCATACATTTATGGAACTAGTACTCCCCCGTTAGCAGTGGATTTTACTTACTGCAAAGGATGCTTTAGGGTGTGTATTGGCTTAATGTTGGGCTGTAAATACAATCTTACTCGTTTTTTAAACTAAAAACCATAATTTAATGATTTGTTAACAAAAATTCCAGGTTGAAACAACATTTTTACAACGTATGCTATTTGATCTAATTAAAAGCATAATTCTATTATACTTTTATATTTGTTGATTTAAATAAAATGCTCGGTTCACGATTCTTATCTTTAAAATCCTTCTCTTACATAACAAATTCAAAATGTTTAAAATTTGATAAATAAAAATTACATTTATTGAAAAAGGCGAAAAAGGTACTTTACATTTTCAAGGATCAAAAAAATAAAAAAAATAAATTAAAATAATATTAGTTTAGATTGTTTTAATAATATTAAGGAGCCAGTCTCAAACGCCCATCATTATTAAGGAGTCAATTAATAATAACTCATATAAAAATACCTAATGATCTTCGTAGCAAATGATCTATTCTTTATTATTTTCTTCTCTCTCTACAAAAAAGAATTTCAAAAAATGGATGATAAAACATTATTAGGAGAATATCTAAAAAATTTTGGAAAATTGTTAGGATCAGATGATAATAGCTATGATGTTAAAATTAATATTAAACATGGAGAAAAATCTGTAGAATTTCATGCACATTCAGTAATATTATGTGCTCAGTCTCCATTTTTTAAAAAGGCTCTATTGAATACAAAGCGAGATGGTGGTGACTATTATGTTATTAATAAATCCAATATTAGTGAATTTGTTTTTAAAACTATTCTCAAGTGAGTTTATTTAATAAATTATTATTAATATATTAATATATCATATTAATATTATTAATTTATTCTTTTAAAAGATTTATATACACATTTAATATAGAGTTAAGCAATTATAACGGTATTGGGATGTTAAACTTATTAATAGCAGCAAACGAATTTGGCCTTGAGTCACTTATCAATTATACAATGGAATATTTTATTGAAAATCATAAAAAATATATAAATGATAACACAGTCAAAGTTCTACGATCAATCTACTATATTGAAGAAAAGTTTAATAAATTAAAAGATATTTGTTTGGAAAACATTTGTGCTGATGGAGAAAAATTATTTAAGTCAAGTGAATTCGTATCATCGGAAGAATTAATTTTATCGGAAATTCTTAAAAAAAATGATTTCTGTGTAGATGAAATAGATGTTTGGGAAGGAATTCTTAAATGGGGGTTAGCAAAACATCCGGAGATCAGCAATAATAAAAACATTGAAAATTGGACAAAACAAAATTTTACCGATTTAGGAAAAACATTAAAAGATTTAATTTTATTAATCAGATTCAAGGATATCTCGAATAAGGATTTTCGTTATAAAGTTATGCCATATTGGAAAATTTTTCCTAAATCTTTATGGAAAAATCTTTTAGATTATTATGTATTTCCAGATGATCAATCAGCTTTATATTTATCACAACCACCAAGAATTAAAAAGCTTGACTCAAAAATTATCGATCAAAAGCTTACTTTGCTTTTTGCAAGCTGGATTGATAGAAAACACCCACCATATACTTCGTTCAATGATGTCAAATACAAATTTAAACTGTTATATCGCAGCAGTAGAGATGGTTTATATTCAGCAACTGTATTTCATCAAAAATGTGATAATATTAACAAAACTCTTGTTGTTGCCAAAACGCAAAATTCAGAACAAATAATTGGAGGATACAATCCACTTAATTGGAATGGAGATGAATATAAATATACAACTGAAAGTTTTATTTTTAATGCAAATAATAAAGTTGATGCACAATTTAGTCGTGTTATTAATAATGATTATGACCATGCAATCGGTTGTTTTCCAACTTATTTTCCTGTTTTTGGTGATGGTTACGATATTTATTTTAATAATATGACAGGTAGAATAATTAGTTATCCAAACACTTATAATAACATCAATGTAACATATAATAGTAATTTTGATGAATTGGAAGTTTTTCAAGTAATTGGTAAAAAATAAAATAATCAATATTTATAACATTTATTAAATCCTGATAGTTGTATTGTATGTAAGGCTCTGAACGAATTGAATCGAGTCGAATTTAAGGCGTTTCGATTATTATTTTGGATCAAACTGAATCATGTTCGAATTCCAAAAAATTGGATTCAAAATCGAATCAAGCCAGATTTTTAAATTTAAATTTAAGAAATGCACTTATAACTGGAACAATGCAAAATACAAAACTGAATAGATTCGGAATAAATACATACGGGAGAACCGTATTTTTGATGTGGAATGCATTAGAAAAACGCATTTTTGAATATGTAAATCAGACGGAAATCATACAGAACCAGCGCGGAATAATTTTGAGACCATTTTTTCGCATGTTTCCATATTAATATGGTTTTCGTGCATTTTAATGTGGAAAGCACGTAGGAAAATCCCACTCAGTAACGTACGTATTAGTATTAGTAGTATAGATCTATTCCACACATAGGATGGGACAGGAAGAAATTCGCGTTTCAACGAACTTTATATATGAAGCAAGAATTTTAAAATCCATTGCTGTGAAAGCTTCATTGGAATCGGAAGTTCTAATGGAAGGCTTTGGAAGATTTGGAAATCCACCTAATTCGGACATTTTCCGAAAGGCAAATCCTTTATCCATGGAATAACAATGGATAAAGCTTCTGCCTTTCGGGGTGTGTGGCATGGATATTTCTGATGTTGATCTCCGGGATTTTGTCCGGATAACTCACTCTATGATCGACAAACTCATGGGTAGGATAATTATAATATATCCCTCTACAGGCAAAACCTTTATCCATGATGACAAATGGATAAAGGTTTTGCCTGTTCGGAAAATGTCCGAATTACCTGTGGAAATCACAAACCTTCCAATAGTTTATGTGCATTGGAATTGGACTTTCGAATATTTCAATAAAGTTCAAAAATTAAAATTAAAATTTAGTTTCTGTTTTTTGAAACTGTTTTTCAAAAATGAAAATTTTTTATTAAGGTATTTACTATTAAATTGATTATTTATATGTAATAATTTTTGACTGCAGAAAATACTTTTATCCATGAATTTACTAAACTACTAATTTTTTTGGAAAGCATGGAAAGGTGAAATGTAAAAAAAAAATATACAGTCAAATGCTCGTTTCAACGAATTTTTTTATAATGTGTGAAACGTGAATTTATTTATGATTCGCTGAAATGAAGCTCATTGAAACGAGGGTTTGACTGTATTGAATTGACATGGGAAATTAATTAAATCGAGGAAAACAAAAAATTCATAAAGATAGATTAATTAGTTTATAAAGCCAAAAACCATCATATATTAAAGTATTAGGCAAACAAAATAAATGTAGTACATATATTGTTTGCATTGGCTGCCATGAAAGACTAGATACAGAAGAACTATATGCTTTTACAAACAAAAAGCCACAAGTTAAAAACCGTTTAAAAAGTCGCGTTCTTCCTTCATTTATCACGTGATTAATTTTTGATTGGACAATAGTATTGATGACGTATAAGTCTTCAACCTTCCAATGTCTCTACGGTGCAGATCATCTATAATCATTAATTGCTTATAGTAACAAGATATATCTTTATGTGCTTGTGATATATCCCTTACGTGTGGGTATTGTTGATGTACTTGGTTATGGATCCTTGTGTTTTCCTGGATGATTTGGATTGTTTCTTCGCTTGGATCTGTGTTCATTCAATTAATCCTTGTAAGGATCAAAATCGTATGGTGGTTCGTCAGGTATATCTTCAAAAGAACTTCTTCCTGAAATATAAATTCTTCTTTAATTAATTCTTCCGAATCTTCTTTTCTTGATGGTTTCTGGAAGACAAATTCGATTTCTCCCTCCTCAGTTAGTCCTTGTAAGTTACAATTTCTTTTTATATGGCCTTTGATCCCACAGGAATAACACTTCTTATTTGAGTGAGGATTTCTAGATGGTTTTTCTACTTCTTGATGGTGTTACTGAAATAGTTGACTTGGGTTTTTGGAAAAATATTTAAATACTAGATGAATTACTTTGGGGTCTTTGGAGGACTCCCTTGTAAACTTGAATGAAAATTTCTTCTTTAACAATTTCGGAATTATAATCTCTTAATTGCATTTACGTTTCTTCAATAAGAATAGAAATAAATTGTTTAACCTCGTAAGGTAATAAAATAAAAATAAAAATAATAAAATAATTAGTGTAAGATAGAATGAAATAATAAAAAGTTACCTCGCAAGGTAATAAAATAAAAATAAAAATAATAAAATAATTAGTGTAAGATAGAATGAAATAATAAAAAGCTACCTCGCAACGTAATAATAAATAAAAAATAAAAAAAATAAAAAAAATAAAAAAAATAAAAAAATAAAATAAAAAAAAAAAAAATAAAATTAATAAAAAGAATGTAAAAAGAATTCGAAGGAATCCGTAGATTCAATTAAGATTTCCAATTTTTATATCTTCTTTGGTGTAAGTTTCCACACAACTTGCACCAAGTTGTCACCGATTAAATTTGGAGAGCGTATTTTAATTGGTGATAACAATTATTTTTATTTTTGCGTGGATCAGAATGAATAGGGGGTCAACGATTTTGTTATTAGCGAATAATTTTGTTTAAAGAAGATAATAGTTTAAATAAAATATTTATTTTATTTATTTAGTTTTCTTAGTCGAAACTAATTAACTTGTTATCAAGTTACTTTCACAGTAGGTCAAATTCGAGTTCTTTATATACATGTCAATTAATTATAAGCCCATTTGGGTTCACGAGCCCATATGGGCGCATAGTCACTAATTTCTACTAAATATAGTTAAATAAATCAAATAAATATTAACGTGTTACAGATTAATTAATAATAAAATGATTATACGAAACGTAACACAGGTATAAACGATAATAATAATTATTATACAAGTTGATAAAAAAAAATATAAAAATAAATAAATGAAATTAAAAATAAATAATAAATAAAAATAGAAATAGAACTAATTTGACCCGGAATTACGAGATTCGTCCAAAATATCTTCGTCAGAATCTAATTCCGGTAACATTAGTAAATGATCATCATCAAATTCAAAATGCCAAAATAGTCTTTCATGTATGATAAGTAGTAGTGTAAAATTAAAAATTAAACCACTGTACCAATATATTGGTCTCTCCCTAATGTTTTATTATGCAATTAACTATTTTTGTCTAGACAATCACATTAACCAGCTAATCCAAGGATCAACATCAAGGTTCAACCTCACCATTTGAGACTGTTGATCCCTAGGTTAAAACCTCTAACCAATAACCATGGCCCAATTTTACTAATTAAAATTAAGGTGAAAAATCAGGGCCTTAACCACCCAATCACCCAAACTCCCCTGTCAAAAGGTTGAACTTCACGTTTTGAGAATGTCAATCCTTGAATTGGGTGACATTAACATTGTAATACAATTGTGAGGTTAAATAAGCATGCTTGATCCCTGAAATTCTTGGTAATACCAATGTTCACTTTGACTGGTTTTGTTGCAGCATGCCCATATTATTGAATTCATTTGAATCAAGATGACTAAGAAAGGATTGAACCTCCTTCTTTGTGACAAAATCATACATCAAAACAACAACGACAAAGAAGGAATCAGGTGTTCAAGAGTTCCTAAATGAATTAAATAATGATAATCCATCACCACCATCAGCACCTTTATTGAATAATCCATCACTAACATCAACATCATCAACACCTGAAAATGAATCACCATGTCAAATTCTGTCAATGAATTACATTTGTATCAGGGAATTTGCAATGCAGAAGGTCATGCCAATCATAAGAAATTAGATCTTACTACTATTTGGTGAAGCTCTGAAAAACTGACTTGATTACATCTTGACTAAAAATCAAGTTCCTCTGCATTCATTCATCCTTTTTTTGTAAATTCAATTTCAAGGTTAACAAGAAATGAATGACATTCAACTAATAATTAGTCATGTGAAATTTGATTATGAAATAAACTTAAAGGAATCACTTCATGCTGATACATAATAAGATCATTGCTCATCATGTTCTTGGCTTATCATATGTGGATTTATTCATTGTTCCTTGAAGGGCATTTTGCTTATTTCAATAAAAATTGGTCATCAAAGATATACATTGCAATCAATAGTTTCATTATGATATTATTTTACTATATACATTCTTCAGTTAGTATACAACTATTATTATTATCACCTTCTTTCTTTTTAAATTCTCTTACTGCAAAATTTAAATGTATAAAAACTTTATTTTATTTATTGAGTAGATTTGCAAAACATTCATACTTTAACGGCTAATGATTTAATTAATAATAATACCAATGGATTAATAAAAGTGATTTTCAATCAATAGAAATTTTCAATTCTGTAATGCAATTCTTTTTTGTTCTGTGCATTCAATTAGTACAGTCATAAATCCTAAGCAAAAGACAAATATTACATTGGTAATACAGCTATGATGTTAGACAAACATATTGATCCCTGTAATTCTGGCAATACCAATCTTCACTTGTCTGATTTTGTTACAGTATGCCCCAGTTCATAAAAGTCTCAAAAATAGGACTTCAGGTTCAAATCACACCCACTACTAATAAAGCAGATATGCTCTTCGTATGGCATTAGAGGAATATATAAAGGACAAACCATCACAATGATTCGAGAATTTCAAGGTATGGTGCATACTTTCATATTTGTGAGTAGCTATTTCAAAATGCAATGTCAAAAGAACAAAAGAACAAAAGAACAAAAGAACAAAAGAAACGCAGCGAGATTGAAAGTTGGAAATCGTGTTTATACGGCGCAGCATCAGGTTTGTATCATGCATGGTTGGTTGTTGTAATATTGGTGGAACTTTCATTAATAATTTAACAAAATATCAAATATTATTTAGGATATGGAATGTAGTTATCGGAATTAATGAAGGTTTTATTCTTGGCAATGAGAGTCTTTGATGAATTATAATTTATTGTGTATTTATATATAATATATACATATATACAGTATATAAAATATAAAATATAATAATGATTAGATTGCAAATAATATACAAACAAATTAATGATTAAAATATAAAAACAGCAGGGTTCAGAAATAATGTACATGTTATCTTTTAGAGATTAATTTAGGACCAATCATACAAATCCCAAATGGTATTATCATAATCGTTATCATGTGCGTAATCATAATCGAAATGATATTTGTAATCGTAATCATAATCGTATTCATAATCGTATTCATAATTGTAATAATCATAATCGTCGTCACTATAATCAAAGAACATTTCTTCATCTGGTCCCCATTCAAATCCATTAATAATCTCGTACCAGTTTTCCTTCCATGGTATTCCTGTCAGCTCACGATTTGAAAGAATATCAAAATCTTCATATAATAAAGTGTCATTTGTTCTAATTTTGACAACTCCTATATTTTTTTTGGCTCGTTCCATTACATCATCAGAAATATTTATCTCAAATGCCATGATTTTCAACGTCTTTAGCGTATTTCCTTGATGCTTCATTATAACATCAATATGTTTATCAGTTATATACGGCAATCTTTCAATGAACAGATATTCTAATCCAGCTTCACATTTTGCAAAGAACTCCTCCAAATTTTCAAGTTCACTATCCCACTCTGTGCTAATTATCAATGATTTTAGACTATCTGGTATGCTGGCTCCAATAAGTGAAAGCGAATCGTAAGTATACTCAAAAGATCCGGTTATAATTAGTTTTTTGAGTCTTGTACACGATTCCAATAGATAAAGAAAACAATCTAATAAATGATTTGTAAAAGTTATCGAAAATTCCTCCAAGTTTTTTGTGCATTTTTTGGAAATATTACGGACAACTTGTATGCAAGAATCTGTTTGATTTTGATATTGTAAAGTTCCTAAATATAATTTTTGTAACACATGACCATAATTGTTAATCAATGTATTCATGGATGAAGGTGGTGGACGTGTATGCCTGAAATCAAGTTCTGTTAGTTTCGGGAACTGTTTGACATGCAACGGTTCCAATAACTTTTCATCTACATTTTTACAGCCATTAAACGCCAAGTGCTGTAAATTTTCCAAATCTGTTATTCCTTCTAACTTATCCATTTTATTAGACATAAATGTAACAGAATGGAAAACTAAACAAGCCAAAGTTTGCGAATGTTTGCCTAAAGCAGAAACAATAGAATTGTCATGCACATAAAAATCATGAAATTCAAGCTTTCGTAATGCCTTTTGGTTAGTAATTAACGTAATCAGGTTTTTTATTTCTTCTTGATCAGAATTATTTCCACGATCTTTATCTGAACCATTGACTATTAGTACTTCGATTCTATGACAAGTTTTGGCCATCTCTTTATAAATATTGTCTTTTTGAAATTTACCATAACAACAAAACTCTCTAATCAACGAAAACGGACTGTTATTGTTGTTGTTGTTAGCCTTAGGACAAAACATGGTTGAAATTTTTGGTGCTAAAAGTGTCATCTGACCTGTTTCAATTGATAAATTAAGAAAAACAGACGATCTGTTCATAAATACTTTACATAAGACATTTGTAACCAGTAGCCAGTCATTAACCGAGAATCTACCATTCGCCCAATGTTCAACAGAGTTGTAAATGTCCAAGTAGTTGAGGGACCTTAAATATTTAGGATAATTAAAAGTGGCTGGTTTCTTCTTGAAGAAATGCCTTTTGTACTTTTTAAAAAATTTTCCTTCCTTAGCATTAAGTTCCTTCACATTTATACATGATAAATATGTTTCAACTAACTTTGCAGATCTGTCTAATCTTGTTAGAAGAAAAGGTTTACTCCACAACCTTTCTACTATAGTAATACACCATAATTTGTTTATTAATAAACATGAATGTAAAGAAGCTTTGTTATCGCCAAGAAAATTTACTACAGCATGTATACAATCTGAAGGTAAGAAGTTTGTCATTGTTATTATTATTTATTAAAAATAGCTTTTAACATTTGTATTACCAAGAATTTCAGGGGAAATATACAGAACCTTTCTGTATATTAATATAGGAATTTCCTTATGCAAAATTTCTTACTATTGTAATTGCTATTACGTTAACCCGGTAATCCGTTAATTACCGAATAAGGTCTTAATACTATATCATGCTATAATACATAGGTAAACTCGATAAGTCAGCCGTGCATGGCTGAACTGACTTATCGAGACCGTCTTACAAAGAACACGTGACATAAAATTTTTTGTATTAAAAATTTTATTATTATAAAATTAAATAAAACAGATAAAAATATGAAAAAAAAATTTTTTTTTATTCTAAATAAATATCCATGCTAGATTGTATTGAAGAAGTTGCATAATTTTCCATTTTAAATCTCTCAATCCCGAAACAAATAAACTGTTTACTTTTATATCATCATTTTGTTGCAAATAATCAGATAAATTTTGGATACTTTCTAGAGCAATTTTATTAGATACTGGAATCATATCTTCTTCTTCTTCCTCAGTTTCGGGGGCTTCTTGGACTGCTGCAATAATTTCATCATCACTAAGCATTTCACCTGTTCTTAAGTTATTATCAATTTCAATATAATCCCTTGCTCTAATAATGCCAATGTCATCATTCATTTGATCAATGAGTAATTGGATGTCTTCATCCTCTATCTCACTATTATCATCAACTAAATTATTGCTAGTCATTTCTTCAACAGGTAGAATACCTGTCCTTTCCCAACATCTATATATCACATCATCAGTTACATTTTTCCATGACTCTGCAGTCCAATCGATTGCATTTAATATGTTTAAAGTAGGTATTTCAGTCCCATATTCTTGAAATTGATCAAATGCATCTATCCTATCTTTACACAAAATTTTTCTATAATTTGATTTAAAGGAATGAATTATACCTTGATCAATCGGTTGAAGATGAGCAGTTGTGTTAGGTGGAAGGAAATGTAATCTAATATTACTTAACACCTCATTTTCTCCTAATTGATGTGAAGAAACATTATCAACTAATAGCAAAATATTTCTTTGTTGTCTTCGCATTTGTTCATTAACTTGTTTGGAATATTGAATGCTGCATCCAAGATGAATTATTCCAGTAATACCATACTGGTAAAGTTTTTTTGTCAATGTTACGAATACATTTTGGATTTTTATATTTATGGATAAAAACAGCAGGTAATTTGTGAGTACCAGTTGCATTACATGCAAGCATTATTGTAATTCTGTCTTTAGGTTTCTTTGTACCAGTAATGGGACCACTTGAAAGGGATTTGCTTGGCTCTAATTTCCAATAAAGGGCAGTCTCATCAGCATTATAAACATCATTTAAATCGTATTGTGCAATTAGAGACTTCAACTCAGCTCTAAATGTTGGTAAATCGTCAATTGGTGCACTTGCTGCTTCACCTGATTTATAGTGTTCCTTTAATTTTTTCTTTTCTTAAAATTAGACAACCATCCCTATCAATTGAAAAATGAATGCTTAAATTTACTATATATTAATATGGAAAAAACATTTATTTTTTTTATGTTTAATAGACAAAATTGATACTTTCCTTTGATGCAGAAAATTCATTAATACCAAGTCTTGTAGCATATTCTTTTGCCTTTTGACAGATGATTACACCAGTTATTGTACAATTCGCTCTATTAGCATTATCAATCCAAATTGCTAATGCATCTTCTAGTTGTGGCCATTCACCTACACGCTCTCTTTTTTTAATGATGTCTGAATCTGCATCAATTGCAAGCCATCTTGCCTTTTCTTTAAAAATACATCCTACTGTTGATTTTCTAATTCTGAATTCTTTGCCAATTTGTTCATTTGTTTTGGTTGGATTAGCAATTTTATATTCACATAATTCTTTTTTTTTAATATTAGTAAGAGTAACTAATTTTCTCCCCATGTTATTTTCTGTATTCATTATTATGGTTAAAATTTTTGATTTATAAATTATAAATAGTTTTTAAAACAATAATTATTTATATTGATCTTTTTATTAGAATTTCAGAAGTTTGGAAAATCAACCAACAACCTTCTTGTACATATTTCCGAACATAATAAAACATAATAAAAATGAATAAATGTATTTTCTACTATACAAACAAAAATATTCTTTCTAAATTATCAGGCAATAATTATACAATCAACGATATAACCTGATGATACAAAAATGAAATAATAAAATATCGCGACAAGAATTTCTAAATCATCAGATTATAACGTATGATAAAAATTTAATAAAAAAAAAAAAATCATACGTTACTAAAAGTAGTAATGATGATCTTTTATATAATGAAAATGTCACGTGAGGCTGACTTATCGAGAACAATTTACTTATCCTAAAAAGAGGGGTTGGCTGACTTATAAGTTATCGCGACTTTATATAGGTCGGCTGACTTATCAAGGGATTTTAAATAGGGAAAAAAAGGGCTGAAAAATTTTGGCTGACTTAGGCCAAAACCGACTTATCGAGTCTACCTGTGTAATTATGATCTAAATCAAAATTAAATTCTTTAATTTTACGAAATGACAAACATCGAACAAGAATCAAAAGATGCGAAAAAGTGGTATGATGAAGCAAAGAAGGAGTTGGATAGATTAGACGATTTGAGGAGCGAGTCGATGAAGTTGAATAGTCGAATAAGAAAAGAAGATGAGAATTTTGGAGGGGGATAAAAAAGATTTGGACGAGGAAATAAAATCTTTAGAGAAAAAAGGAGAGACGGTTGGGAAGACCAGGTGAAAAAACTACAAGATGCGTTAGTAGAATTTGGTAAAGGGTAAGGTAATAAACAAATTGCATAAAAAAATAATTTTCTATTCATTCCATTGCATTTATTTATTTGGCATATTATGTAGTTGTTTCACCAACAAGAAAGTCATCATCTGCTAATATCAAAGAAATACTTGACAAATATGTCAAAAATTTTGCAAAACACACTCCAACTCTGTTAATGACATAAAAGACATATCAACCTATTTGAAATTTGTGGATCATGAAAAGGCAATAGTGCAGCTGATGAAAAATATGGACAATTTACATAAGCTCATGACAAATCAAAAAGAATATACAGAGCCTTTGAAACATCTATATTTTGCTGCTATAGGAACAGCTGGGAAAGGCAAAACAACATTTGCCCGATGCGCTTATGAAAAATGAAAATGGCTATCATGAGGTTGTGAGACCTGAAATTACAGTTGCAGAGAGAAATTGTATTGATGCAGGTTGGTCTTTTCATATGTCATGTGACAGTTTTACCACAGACAACCTTGAGGTCATATTTGGATTGAGATTACTTTATGAGACACTGAAGTATATAATTTCAGAAGTTGATTTTTAAAATTCAAAATTCCGAAATGCTGAATTGTTTCCGAAATGGCAATAATAACAATAATAATATATTTGAATTAAAGAAAAAAAAATATTTCTGCCAGTATCATGTCAATCTATAATAAAAGAAAAAAATCTCATGCAGAATATCAATTCAGTCAACTAATTCGTTTAAAAGAAAAAACTTGATGTACAGCAAGGAATTGAAGACTTTTATGAGAGCAAAGAACTAGCTGATTCAAAAGAAATGCAATCAACATGGCATTGGTAAAAGCATTTTTTGGATGTGGGATTTTATTTAATGTCATTAATAACCCATTTTTTAAAGAGCTTCTACATGAATTATGATCAAATTATTCTCCTCCAACACATTAAACATTGTCAGACAACTTGTTGAGCCAAGAAATTGCTAGATTAAGATAATAGAATTGATAAAGAATTAGAAGTTGGAGAAAGAAAACCTTACTCTTGGTAAATGATTGTAAAATAATAATGTTTATTTTGTGCACTAATATTTTATATCTAACCTACATCTATGAATTTATATATATATTCAACATTGGATGTGTGATCACCTCCTGGTTCATTTTCTATATACGATTTTATCATTTTTTGACACTACAAAAAAATCAATACTCGCCACACTGGTAGCAGAAATTAAAATTGTTAACCAATACCATCTATGATAAATCTTGGATTCATGGCTCATTTTGTGAACTTGATTACCAAATCAATCATTGGTGAGTAATAATTTTTTAATATTTATCATTTTTTCAATGTTAATATTTTAATGCCTCATTTTTTTAATTAGAGCATGATAGGCTTCTAATATACTTTCAAAATGCTCAAATATTTTAAAGAATCACATATTTGTCAAAACTTGCTGATGAATGAAGCCAGATGCTTTTCAATTCAAGGAGTGGTCTCAAAACATGCATTAAGACAAGATGGACATCTATTTTGAATCAACAAATTCAATGTAAAAATGTGTCAAGCTTTAGAAGAAGTATTCATTTAATAATTTATTATGCAACATATCAATCATATTGGATGCATTTGTATTGATCAGTTTTTTAGCATTTTTTATTTAAAAATATTAGGTAATTACCAAGTATCCTGATGAAATTAAAAGCAGGCTGACAAAAAAAATGTTGAAAAAACAAGGGCTTTTTAAAAAATTGCATCATTATCTCAAGTATTATTGCCAATTTAAATCTTAGAAAGTGACACTCTAGCTGACGTATTTATACAAATGCTCATAAATTAAAAAATATTATTAATGATTGAACCAAAAACATTCAATTTGCACATTTAATAAAAGATGGAATGAATTTCAAATTGATCCATATCTATTGGCTTACTTCCTACAGGGTGAATTTGGACCATGGTTAAGAATGTTTAGAAATGCAAGAGTTTGGTTGATTATAATATATTTATACATATATGTATGCATTTGATTTATAATGAGGTTGATTAATATACTTCTTTTATCATTAATTACAATAACAGAACAAGTTTATGATTGAGTCCAAATTTAAAATCAACACAATTACCCCCATAGTTGCACAGTGCTGATTCATTTTTACCAGTAATAATTTCTTATTCTCTACCTATTTGAATGCTCAAGGTAAATCATGACAATTATAGGTCATTTACATGTAATTTTTTTAGAAGGATCCATTGAATAAATAATATTTTGAGTTATCTATTATTGAGTAAGGACCTGTATTCAATCAAATAGGAACACTATTTTGGAGAAAGATTCTCTGTTATACGTAGGAGGTCTTATCTATCAAATTAATAGAAAAAGTTACTTGTACAAATTATAGCAAGCCTCACACCATAGTTGCAAAAAATATATCAATTACATCCATTATAATAATAGTAAAAATTAAAATAAAATCTTGCAAATTTTGTTTGTATAATTTTATTCAATCTTCAGGTTATCTTTTTTATTTTCAATAGATTCAATTAATTCATAATAAGAATGTATCATTAATAGCAAGGGTACAACTACCCATAATAAATTAAAGAACTATAATATATACAATATAAATAATTAGTATTTATTTATATAAATATAATAAATATAATATAAACATATATGTAATGTAAGCATTACCCCAAGATAAATCCATAAGTACATCCAATTATCAGTGACAAGGAATTTATTACCAGTTAACCATTCAGGGACAAAAGTCATGTAACAACCATATATCTCACAAGTACAAAGTATCAATTGCCAATAATGTCTTGATACATGCAAATGACTATTATTTGTTGAATTAGAGATTGTTAGCAAGTAGAGTACATATAATGATAATGGTCCACAGAATAAGAATGTCAAGATTTCAATAGAAAGCACCGTTGAATCTGAATAAAGCCATCTTTTATCTGATTTACCATATTCTTGCCCTTAAATTGAATGAATAGGAGGAGAAGGTAAAATGAATCATTGAATTACAATTATTATAATAAAACAATTGATTTGCAGTGAACCAATGTTTGTTAGTAAATAATAAATATGATAATTGTTGTATATATGACCTACATATTTCAGCAATCATTCCTTGACTTTTTTCTACTGTGTTAAAATATGACATGTAAACCCAGGACCCTTCTAATATTAAATGAATCAGAGAATCAAAAGTTAACCAGATGAAGATAAATCTTTCATATTTTTCATATTTTTTGTTTGATGAATTATTATTAATTTTGGAAAGTGGTGGTAAAAATATTATTGAAGTAACATAAGAAAAAATTAGTAGAATCAAGATAAAACAAAAAGAAACAATTGTTTGTTTGTTAAGAAAATCCGAATAAAACGGTAAACTAGATGTTGTCGTCATTGAAAGAACATAGCATTCTCGCGAAGAAGCTACTGACTAAATAGTGGGTTTAAAAAAAAATTTTTTGGCCATCAATGAATTTTATATACTATTTTAATAAATGGGGCATACTGCAACAAAACCAACATTGGTTTGTATTACCAAGAATTTCAGGGATCAAAATTTGAAAAATAATTAATATTAATATGAAATTAATTTATATCAATTCGTTTTCACTAATCTTCACTCACAGCACCAGACCAGAGAAGGCTATCATGTTTATTTTATTAAAGACATAATTAATTGGGGTCTGATTTCTTTTCATCGATAATCACTTCGTTGACATTTCGTTGACAGTTCATATATTTCAAGTTTTGCGTGACAAAATTGCATTGTTTTTTAAAAAAAAATTTTTTTTTCATTTTAAACCAATAAGCAACGTTTAATATATGTTTTTCCAATCCTGTGCAAGTTATGAGAGGATCTAATACGAATAAAAAAAAAATACTAAAAAGATTTTTTTTTACAACCAAAATTCGTTTCCGTTTGCATTTTATGAATGAAATAATTAACAATTGACGTTTTATGAATGAAATAATTAACAATTGATGTTTTTTATTATTTTATAGTTCAATATTAATTATATAAATCGGTAACTAAATTGGTAAATTTAATTTATTATACGTATTAGTATTAGTATATGTTTCTATTGTGAAATGAGTATTTCTCTATTATTCAATGATGATATAGTTATTCAATTATAAGCAACACAAACAAAACGGGACGAGCAGATATTCTGCAAATAATTAGATTTTATATATAACTTATTTTAATTAGCATTAAAATTGATTAAATAGATTCTGGTTCATAAAAAAAACTGGGAGCATGTCTTCAAATGTGGTGAACTTCAAAACTGCGGAACGATACACACACGGCTTTTCCTACACGGAAAAAAAGGACAGGAAAGTTGATCTCATTTAACGTGATACATACAGATGTTCTTGATTCCGTCATGGAAAAATGTTGTATAATTTGGTCATGAAGTGTCAGTTTTTATGAATGAACTTATTAACAATTGGATGGGCCTTTAATTATTAGTTGTTAATTACATATATATACAACTAAAGATAAATTAAGAATCTATTTTGATGCTGAAATTTGTTATATCACTAATATGTTAATATAATTAGATATTTAGAAGTAATGTTTTAACATTTAAAAAAAACAGTGTGGATTTTATAATAATTATAATGATGCACTTTTAAAATTGGCATTAAAATTAATCCAAATAAAAAGAAAAAAGAACCCACATGTATTGAATCACATGATTTCTTTATTACTATGGGGACGATGACCGTCGCGGACATGAAGATCATCATTATTGCTATAATAATTTATCATTATATTAATATTGTTACATCGAAATGGATTTTCCATGTTTTCCATAATATCATGTTCCCACACTTTCAACATTCCCACATTCTCCAAATATATATCCTTCATTAATTAATTACATTAACAATTCATTGATTATTACACTCATTTGTAGATTTTTTTAAAAATTAGAATTTAGAAATTAGAAATCAATAAAACAAAAAGTTTTTTTATTCGAAAAACAAATCAAAATAAAAAAATTTTTTTTCCCTTTAATTAATACCTTAATACCGAATCAAACTCTATTAATAATTTTCGACCTATAATTTTTTACATTTATAATAAATATAAATATAGTTTGATCCTATTATTACTTAATCAATAACATAACATCATAATCATAAGTAATCATTTGCTATCATTTGCTATTATATATTATTTATTATATATTACTATTAATTTCTTCTCATTCCTTTTTTTTTTCTTTATAACTAATATTATTGTTATTAAAGAAACTTCTTTTTGCCTTGCTTCATTTCATTCAATCAAAAAAAAAAAACAAAAACAAAACAATGTCTTCATTAGAAACATTTTTGTTAATATATTTATTCGGAGGTCTTACATTCTTTCCTTTATTAATATTAATAATATTTCTTATGAAATTTCAGCCCTGGAGATTGAAAAAGAATGAGAATATTGCATTTGATGACGTGCCTGATGAATTATTAAAAAATAACAATGATGATAGATCAATCATTAATAATAATAAAAATGTTAATAATGAGACTATAGATAATTCTGGTTTTTATAAATTTGGATGGATAAGAGTAACCAAAGAACATGAAGCAAGTTCCATAACTCAATCTTCTAACATTTCTTCCACTTCAATCAATCCTTCTAATAACTCTTACAACCCTTCTTCTAACAACTCTTCTATTCCGACTTCTCTTGAAACTTCTTCGCCAAATAATTCACAAACGATTGGTACAATAATGAAACAAGGAATACAATCATACATGGAAGCCAAAAATTTAAGATTAAAACAAGCGAATGATTCATATTTTGCCGTCTTGAAATATAATACCCTTTTTATGTACGACAATGAAAATCAATTGGATTGTAAAGGTGTAATAATAGTGTCAAATCATGATGTGTCAATGTATCCGGAAAATTTACCTGATAACGAAATATTTTTAAAACCTACTTCCATCAGGTTAAAGAAAAAGCAATCAATATATGCTGAAATGGAAAAGATTAATGAAAACAACAACAATGAAAACAATAATGATAATGATTGTACAACTGAGCCTTTGGTTGGTGAGTCATCACCACCATCATCATTTTCTTCTACTTCTTCTTCTAGTGGTGATACCAATAATAGCGGTAACAGTAGTAATAGTAGTAGCAGATCGACTATGGCTACATGTTATTATATATTTTGTGATAGATGTGTTGATAAAGAGGATTGGTTTTTTGCATTGCAAAAATCCTCAAAACTCCATTCAAATTCACCCGGTCCTCAGCCACAAATAGTAAAAGATAAAGCAGAGTTTGATCAACATGCAATGACCAATTTACTAAAAACAATCAACTCAAATGATGATCACATAAAAACTCAATGGTTAAATGCAACACTAGGAAGAATATTTCTTTCAATCTATAAAACAAACACAATCAAAGAATATTTCATCCACAAACTGAAGAAAAAAATCAAAAGAGTCAAAAAACCAAATTTCTTAAGTGACATACAAATAAAATCAGTAGAGGTAGGTGATGGAATACCTTATATTACCAACCCTAAATTGAATGGATTATCTGATAATGGTGATTTAAGTGTTGATCTAAACCTGGATTATAATGGTGGATTTAGGGTGGAAATAGAAACCGAAGCTATGATTTCGGTTACAAGATTGAGAACCATTAAATTGTCGTTTGTTCTTGCAGTGGTCTTGAAAGGTCTGCAAGGTAGATTGTTGTTGAAAATCAAACCACCACCAACAAATAGGATTTGGTTTGGTTTTTATGAAATGCCAAAATTGAATTTATTAATTGAACCAATAGTTTCAGAAACTCAATTAAAATTCTCACCAATAATTAAAGCAATTGAGTCGAAAATTCATGAAATGATTATGGATACTGTAGTATTGCCCAATATGGATGATTTACCTTTTTTCCCAAGTTTTGGAATGGGCGGAGTTTATGAAGGTGATGTGAAAATTAATGATGACGACAAAAAATGTGATGATAATAGTGATGGTGATGGTGATGCGGAAGTGGTGGTGAAAAAGGAAGTGGTGGTGATAGAAGGAGAAGGCTGTAAGGAAAGTAATAATGTAAAAGAAAAAGGAGAGGAAATAGATGAAGACATAATGAAGGTACGAGAAGAAGAAAAGCAAAATGATGAAATAATTGTACATAACCAATATCCAAACAATAAAAATTCAGAATCCTCGGCAAATAATAATGATAAAAGTGACCATGATGTATTGGCTAGTAATAACAATAATGATACAAATGAAACAAAAATTATGCCAGCTACAGTCAACGAACATATTAAACATGAAATAATAAATTCAAATACATCCATGGATAACAATAGTCCTGCTGAAGGATCAAATGATTCGTGTAGTGGTGAATCTAATTTGACCAAATCTAATAATTATGGACTTGGATACGTTACCAAGCATTTGAAACGGTTTGATTTAGCAAATGATTTTATCAACTCAAAAAATTATTTATTAAATTATAATAACAACAATAATAATAGTAATCAACATAGTAATAATGAAAATGACAGTAATAGTAATAGTAATATGAATCTGCCAGATAATGTAAACAATTCATCAAGTTTCTCAACTTCAGCAATTAGAAATTGGTCAAGATCTATATCCATAAAACGTCGTAATAGAAAAAATAGTGGTAATATAATATCAGGAACGTCTCCTAATAGTAATGGCAATATTAATAATGGTATTATTATTAACAATAATAATACCATTAGTGGCAATAATATTAGCAATGATCATGATAATAATATTAACAATAACAACAACAATAATAGTAATAACAATATTGATTATAATGATGATGGTGATAATTTTAACAACAAAGATGATGGTTCAAAAAATCCTGCATCATCGTTATCAACAACAGATTCGCAAAATAATATAAATCTCCAATTAACAACACCGAAAACAATACCAAAATCGATGCCAAAGACACCGCCATCATCTCCACCATTCTCATCAACATCACCAGTATCGTCACCCTCGTCACCCTCATCACCTTTATCAAAATCACCTAGCAGAAATGATTGTAAAATAATACAGGATCACACAGATTTATTTCCTGGAATAAAACCAATATTAAATACTTCAATAGAAGAATTGAATCAAGTGTTAGGATAGTTAATTGATTGATGATTATTAACTAACTATTGCATTTTAATAAATAAAATTATTTTACTAATGTACATTTTCTAGAGATTATCTAGAGGCCATTAGAAACAAAAAAAATTAAATAAATAAATTATTTTAAAAATAAATTATTCCAATTAAAAATCAAAATTAATTTAATTTTCTCAAACTTATAAATAATGCATTAGCATCTACCAAAACAACACCTTCATCGAATGTTTCTAATCTTCCTTCAACAAAGCCTTTTCTACCCTCAATTTTTGTAACTTTACATTTACAAACCAATATTTGATTTGCTTTGCATGGTTTACGAAAATTCACGTGCAGAAATGCTGTTGCTCCATTTTTATCTGGTAATGATGGAATTACCTTTTTCAATTTAATGATTATTTAATTAATAAATTTGCGTTAAAACCCCAAACCAAAAATGAGTAAATGACATTTATTAGGATAATTACAGTTATTGTCAAACCTTCATCCATAATTGTTGATAATAATCCACCATGAATGACGCCATCATGACCACACAAATCGCTGCCAACATGTAAAAACACAATGCTTTCCATCTTCTCGCTGGAATAGAAAACTATTGGCCTCATGATGAATTTCCCTTTACCTTGTAAAGTGTTAGCAGTTAAATGTTTTGTTTTTCTATCAGGCTTTAGAATGTCATAACCCATATTGTGTATATAAGACGGATCATTTATTAATTGATTCACCAATGAAGTTGAATAAACTTTTGATTCTAGAAAATTGACCTCCTCTTCTATTTGTTGATTTTTTTTTAAAGATGATGATAAAGATAATGACGATGTCTTTGAAAGGAAATACGATAGACTAGCTATTATGATACTACCGCATATTATAGTAGTTGTTTTAAAATTATTTGTAATATTTTGCGAAGAGATATTTTTAATTAATGTCATTTTGGAATAGAGTTTAAAAAGAATAAAAAATAATCGAGCTTTAATTTTCAATTATATATCACGCTTATTTATTTGTGATTATTAATATTGTTTGTCGCAATTACGGGAAATTAACCAATTGACTAATTGCGATTTGTAATAATAATAATATTTATGAAGTTTATCCGATTTTTTTATACTGGATGATTTTGCTGACTTTTAACGAATTAAAAGTTTGAAGTGTGTAACCGACCGGATTTTGGAATAGCTCTCTATTTTCACAATAAACACCAACTTCATTATTAAATCCAAGTAAAATTGCACTTTTCTAATGAATATCCTTTTATATTGAAAAGAGCTATCTCTCTAAGTAAAGTCATAGCCATTCTGAAATGTATTGTATTTCTATTTGGAGGATTTTCTTTTTGATTTTGGTTATGGGTGGGTATTAGTATTACTTCATTGTAGAGAAAACAGCAAAAAATAATTTCATCAGGATCTCTAAGTAAATCTTAATTATTATTATATCCTATTCGGGATAATTGATATGATGTAACAGTAATTTATGCAATAGTCAAAAAAGCCGTATTATATTGGTTTGATATTTTTTTCAATATCGATCACGAAAATTTTATAAAATTTACAGTATCATTTATTAATTTTTTTTCACATTCTTGAAACCCTTGGCTATACATGCAGCCAAAGTATTGACACTATCATAAAGGGAGTTACACGTGTCGTAAAGGGGTGTTGCACTTATGTCTTTAATAGCGAGTGCCGTAATTAATTTAATTTCTACCATCAAAAATTGGAATAATTTTGACCATCAAAATCACCAAACCAATTTGAGCTGCATGTATATACGATTTTTTTGCACGTTCTTTAAGTTCTTGACCAATTTTAAAATATATACATTATCGAATTAATATACTATCTAATACCTTATTCCAATCACGTTTACGACGTGTCAATAACAATACATGTATCAGTCCTTTGAATGCGAGTTCTGACAATTCAACGTAAGGTTAGTTTAACAATGATTGCTACTCATTTTCTGCTTTACAAATTAATTTAATATAAGCTTCTATTATCCCTTAAACGGTCAAAGTATTCTTTTAATGGTAACACAAAATCACGATCTCGAATTCTTATTGGTCAATTTAACGATCAGCAAAGTCAATCGACAAGAAAGTTATACGAAAACCACAAGGACATAGTATTAAGGCCTTATCCGGTAGCTGACGGATTTTCGGTTGTAATGGGTTAACGTTAATACTAATATATTAATATACTAATACTAATACTATAAACATTAATATTAGTGTTACAATCCGTTAACCCGTTAACACCCGTTAACTCGTTAACGATAATAATAATATTAATATTAATATTACAATTAACAATCCATTGATCCGTTAATATTAATAACAACAGTAATAATATTGATTTTTTTTACGCTGAAGTGAGGACTTTTTGACCATGTTTATTTATCTAATACTAATACATTATGAATTCTACCTATTACTATTAAAATAAAATTAATATCAACCCTTTTAAGAAAAAACATTAAATTGTTTTTCAATGAAAAGAAAGTTTTTAAACAATACAGTCTAAGCTCTCTATACCGAACCTCACTATAACGAACACTAAGTAAAATCTCTTTATAACGAACTTCCCTTTTTGTCCCCGATTCGATTTTTTATAATTAATTTCTCTCTCTATAACGAACAAAAACAAGAAAAATTACATATAGTGACAGGGGGTTCGGTATAGAGAGCTTAGACTGTGTAGGGAAGAATATGGATGAAACCTGATTTTTTTAAAAAGAAATAAATCACAGATTGAAGCAATTCATCTCCAAATTAAATAAATAAATATTTTATTATTTAAATTCCAACAAATAAATGGTTTTATTAACCTATTACCAATCCGGGTCGTAATATTAATGCCAAGAAATGATTCGACATGCAACATTTTATTACAGATATTCGGGGCTCGGATATTTATTCTCATCTTCCTTGGTGTACAAAGGCTAATGTGTACCCTGATAATATGATGATGCAATTAAATTTCAGGGAGGGGTGTGGCTCTGGAATTTATTCATTTTTGTCAAGAAGAGTGTTGAAGCCTCTTGCTTGGCCAAAACCTTCCAGCATGTGAGGGCCCACACCTGTGGAAAAAATTGAAGAAGAGATTTTATTAAATCTGACTCCTATGATCAGGGTTGATGTTGGATATGAATATTATCCTGCACCTGTGGGTCCAAATCTACCACTACCATATGCTGACAATAATTCGTATGCAATATTAAGTGTAAGATCATTAACATCATCACAACCTTCACTTGAGCAACTCCAACTCCATCATCTCAATCAACTACCCCTAACCAGATTAATCACCAACTCAACCACTATCATGAACGCAAAGTCACAATACACCTTGAACATTTTAGATGTTGTCCAATGCTAACCCTGCCTGTGATCAATATCAGATTTATTCATTATTTTTTTGGAAATGATTTTTAAGGAGCTCTGACTTGCAATTGCATGCAATTGGGAAGCGCACACATATTATTTAGATGTGTCTCAAAAAATAATTGGCCTGGATTGTTTCAATCCAGTCCATCAACTTTGATTAAGTTCAGGATGTTGAATTTGTACCCTTTCTTTCATTTTTATGGTTTATTTAAAAAGAACAAGAATAATATAATTATCAAATAAGTAAATATATAAATAAATATGATTTTTTATCCACCTCTCATCTCTTGAATGACAGACTTTATTCTATCTTCATTCATAATTCCAAAAGAGTGTACTTTCATATCAAAAGATCCTGTACCAGCAGTAAGAGATCTTAATGAACTGGAATATCCCAACATTGATGATAATGGTACATTAGCTCTAATAGTTCTTTTTAATTTAATCAATTCATTATTTTTATTATTATTGTCATCATTATCTGATATTGAGGAAATGTATCCTGGATCTGGTGGTGCATAAATATTCATTATTTTCTGATCAAAATCATCAATAGAATTTTCAACCAATTCTAAAATATTTCCTCTTCTTATGCCACTTAAATCACTAAGAACATTGCCTAAATATTCTTCAGTTGTTTGTACATTCACTTCCATTAATGGTTCAAGCAAAACAGGATTCCCTTTTTTAACTGCTTCATAGAGTGCTTGTGATGCGCATGTGCTTATTGAAGCTTTTGTTGGCTCAATACCAAACAAATTTAGTGAATGCACTTTTATGTGCAATCTGGTTAAAGGAAATCCTAAAATTGGTCCTCTGTAAAGGGCTGACAAAATACCTGAACGTAATGCAATCCTAATTTCTTCTTCACTCAATTTTATAATTTCAATTGTTTCCATATTTCTATTATTGTCATTATCATTCTTTTTCATTTGATCAATTTCAACATTTATAATATTTCCACCGCTTTCAGGTGATCCATTATCATATTCTGATAATCGTGTTATGGTCAATGTTACTTGTACTTTTGCACGTTTTCCCATCAATTCACGATCATATAAATAAGTATAATCTACTTTTTCACTTGTTAAAGTCTCTCTATATGATATTCTCATCTTACCCATCTCAGCATTTACCTTATACTCATTTAACAAACGATCTTTAACAATTTCCAAGTGCAATTCACCCATTCCACTAATTAATGTTTGGCCAGAATCAACATCCACATGAACATGCAAGGAGGGATCTTCTCTCAACAAATTCTTGAGTGCCTCTTCTAATGGTTTCTCATCAGAAATAGAAGAAGGTTCAACAGCACAAAAAAAGACTGGTGCTGGAATTTGAATATTTTGTAATCGAAGTGTTTTACGTGAGTCATTGAATTGAATAAGAGTATCACCAGTTCTAGTCTCCTTCAACCCTAAAATCACGCCAATATTACCAGAGATTATTGATGGAATTTCTTCTACATTGTTTGAATACATTTGTAACAATTTATTTACCCGTTCTTTTTGGCTGGTATTAGTATTGTAGAGTATCATCTTGTTATCAATTTTACCTAATACATGATGGATTTGAAAGGGGGTTTGAAAGGATTAAATATATATATATTGTGTATGTCAATGGTTCAAGTACTGGATATATTATTATTATATTAGAAATAAATGAATATTATACTACCCGAGTAAACACGAACAAATACCATGGGTCCACGTTTCTGATCATGTAAAACTTTAAATGCCAATGCACATGATTTATTGTTTTCATTTAGTTCAATTTCGATTAATTTATCATCTGAAATGTTTGCAAAAGGTAAAGGACGATCTTGTGGTGAAGGTAAATAATCTATCACAGCATCCATCAAAGGTTGTACACCAATATTACGAAATGATGCACCACAAAAAACTGGAACAACTTTACAGGTGATTGTAGCTTTGCGTATTGCTTCACGAATATCCTTTGCAGAAACCTGTAAGGAGTTTTCAGTCTCTAGAAACTTTTCCAACAAATAATCATCACTCTCAGATAAAGTTTCAACCAGAATAGATCTAGCCTTAATTGCTTCACTGTATAGATTTGGAATTTGAGGATAACTTTCAGTTAATGGAGTTCTAGTTATAGTTGTACCATTTGGATTTTTATCCCAATCAATTACCTCCAATTCCAACAAATCAACAACACCTGAAAATACTATATTTCCATAATCATCCTTTCTCAATACTGGCAATTGACACACTAATGGTCTAGTTTGCAATTTGCTATACATTTCATATACAGTTCTGCCAAACCTAGCCCCCAATCTATCCATTTTATTGACATAAGCTATTCTAGGTATATCATATCGATCAGCTTGAGACCAAACTGTTTGTGTTTGAGCTTCAACACCTGACACTGCATCCAATATTGTTACAGCTCCATCAAGTACTCGTATACTGCGTTCTACTTCTATAGTGAAATCAACGTGACCTGGTGTATCTATCAAATTAATACGATGATTTTTCCAACCAAATGTTATTGCTGCTGATGTGATTGTAATGCCACGTTCTCGTTCTTGCTTCATATAATCCATAACTGTGTCACCATCATCAACATCTTTTTAAAATCAAAAGTAAAGGTTTAGAAAGTTTTTTTTCGTAAATAATTGTGAAATTAATCCAAAAATACCTCCTATCCTTTTGGTGATTCCTGCATAATGTAACATTCTTTCAGTTGTAGTGGTTTTCCCAGCATCAATGTGAGCTATAATACCAATGTTTCTTGTTTTAGAAATTGAATAATCTATGAAAATTAGTTTGATTATATAGTATATATATTTTTTAATCATACAAAAAAACTCAACTATCAATAATTATTACCTTCCCCGAATGTTGTTGTTTTTGAGTAAGATTTATATAGTAATATTCTTTTTAAAAGTTGTTTATTATTTTTGGAATGATTAATTAAACTGATAAAGTTTTTTAAATACATTATAATTAGTTAATTTTGTGAATGAAATTTAATCTAATAATTTAATCTATTATTATCATAAAACGTGAACTATTTATTTTTTTGATCTAATTTTTTAGAGGATCTGCAAAAGCGAATTTTTTTTCTTACCACAAACTCCACAAACTATATTGATTATGAATTTCAGCAACGAAAAAACTCTTTTTCACTTGGCAACACTCGATTATCAAAGACAAAAGGAAGTTTCACCTTCTTATGTTGCCGAACTCCTTACAAAAGCAAATAACTTGTTGAACCGCATCGCCTTTGCTTATTCCATCATTGATAAACCTCAAGGTATTTACAGCAAAAATGATGATAATGACACTGATAAGATTTACAACATAAAAAAAAATTATTTATTTTTTATTATATAGAAGGACAAATTTATCTTATTCTTTTGTCACCTAATGAAGAAGTAATACCACCAGATGGGTATGTTTATAATTTTTTTTTTAAAAAATATATATAATCAGGTATGAAATTAAAATTGTTATGATTTTTTATAAAAATAATACATTTAGATATCATTATTTGGAACCTGAAGCTACTCATAAAGTATCATTACCGGATGGAAGGGTAAGCTTATACTAAATAAAATAAAAGGTTGGAATTCAATTGAAAACAATTTATTAATTAAATTACTTATCAATTGACAGATTTTAATTAATGATCTTTATTTATTCTTTTTTTGTTGATAATAAGGAAATGATTGTTATGGAAAAAAGACATGGTTTTGCATCTAATGATCAAATAACAAGCATAATTAGACGACGATATTTTTTTGTCAATAATCATAACAATCTTCAAATATTGCACTATTCCATTCTTCCAGAACAATGTAAGTAAAGATCATATAAATTTTTAAAAAAATTTTTTCTATTTATATTTAAATATATTTTCGTTTAATAGATAGACAAATGGTAAACATTAATTTTCCAAGACAAGCAATTCAAAATTCAAGATATCCTATTCATCAAATGCAAGGAGGAAATATTGCACCTTATTTTTTGAGGACACCAAATGCAATTCCATCAATGTCTATTCAATCCCTTCCTGCTAATATGATGCCTGGTCAATCGCCAAATATGCAGCGGATGCTTGGTGATAACACATCTATGCAAACGAATACATATGGATTTCAAGGTCATTTGATGCCAAATCAACAAGCTTATAACGCCTCAACTCCAACAAAATCTGGTAGAAAAGCAAAAAATGCAAAGGTGTGTTTATTTATTATACATCAGAAAGATTTAACATTCAAAAACTTAAAAATTATATATATATACATAGAATAAAACGGCACTTAATACCACCATTACTTCTACCGAAGAAACTGATGAACCATCTGGAGGTAAAAAAAAAATGTTTTATTAATAATGTAATTTTTATTAATTGTTATTAAATTTTGTTTTATCTTCGAAATAGATGAACTTGATGGTTTGAAATTTCGTGAGGTTGCAATGTTAAGATACAAAAGAAATCATGATTTTATTTCTGAAATTTTTTCACCGTATAGTGTCCGTATGTAGTAGTATATATTTTTTTATTGTAATCAAATTTTATTCCACACACACACATATATATTTAGCATTATTAAATTTTAAATTTAAGATTCAATAAAACCCCCATCTTCACCTTATGAATCAGTAAATATTGATGATTTGAGGAAAAAATTGGTAAATTTAGCTTTTTAATTATGTTATTATTTAAAAAATTTAAAAAATTAAAAATTTTGAATTTATAAAATAGGTAGAAACACAAGCTGAACTAGATAAAATGAATAGTGAGCACGCAGAGAAAATAAAAAATTTTAAACAACAATCTAGCAAATTGACTAAAGCTTTTAATGACATTAAAAATTGCAACACTATTGAGGTTTGTAGTCTTTTATTTATTTTTTTAGTTTCATTCTGAATTCGTTATTTTTAATATATGGGTTTGTTTATTATTATAATAATAATAATAACAAAGGAATTGAATAAAGTCGAGGAAAACTCAAAAGAAGAATTAGATCTTATTATTGAAACCTATGATCCTGTAAGATTGGTGGAACTTTATCCTGAACATAGACCTGATTCAGAATTAAATCATCAAACTGTGTTGATGCAAGAAGAAATTATTAATGAAAGTTCATTGTTGTCATCATCTGTTCCTCATAATATAGAATAGAGTTCAAACATTGTATATATATGTGCACTATTATAATAAATAGAATGAATTAATGAATGAATGAGTTTTGGAAACATAGTAATAGGGTCTAAAATTCCGTTGATTTTTGTTTGTTTGATTCCATACTTACAAGTTATTTTTTTGGCAAAATTCTTGGGTTTCTAGTAATGGCAAACTAGCTAATACTCCACCATATCCAGGAAAATGATGGAATCTCATTGCTAAGTATTTATTCAAAGTGTGCTTTTACAAAATTAAATGATGTAATAAATTCCCAATGATTTATTTATTTTTAAGAATCAACTACTGACTTTTATTTAACTTTTTTGTAGTTTCAACCATATTAGAATTATTTATTTATTTTACTATTTGGCATAGAATTTATTTATTAGTTATATATATCTACAATTAATTATAATGAAGTAACCGGAAATTAGTATTACCCCGAAATTTTTCTACATTGCTATTGCAGTCGTGTGACATGTCCTATCACACTATTATTGGTTGATGAACAATTCTAAATTTTAGCTCCAAATACACAGCGGACGTATTCTCGTGCAAATTATCCTTGCATGGGAATTTCTCTATGTAAATTTAGTATTATTAGAAATTGTCTTAAAAATAAATATTATTATATAAAGTATTTTGAAGTCGCCCAGGATATGGATTTGCTCATTGTACAAGACTCTCTCTCGGACGAACTGCAATGTCTGGAGCTATTATTTCTCCAATTCCGATTGGATTGTAATGGTCCATTGGAAAAAATTTGTATTTTTATTACAAGCTTCAGAAAAATAGAATTAAATGAAAATCTCTTACAATGTGACCAGAAACTATTATCAGTCCAAGTTTACCCTATTATTTGATTCTTTAAAACAATCTTGAAGATATAATATGACATCTTCATGTGGTGCGTACGCCATTTCAATAACTAGACGTTTTTTTATCAAAGTGAAATTTCATTACGATCAAGAAAATCGTTACACTCTTTAACCGAGATGTTATTCCCGATTTGGAAGGGCAATACAAGTTAACAATGAATAGCTCTTAAAGAAACATGAGTAAATTACATTTACCTTTCCTCTGCTAAATGAAAATCTGGCAGTTTAGGGTGTTTATAGGACAAGTTATCTTTGCTCTGTTACTTACTTATCCAATGAGCCATACTTTACAAAATAAAAAGATTTATGTAATGATAATCACACGTGACATATAAATTTTGAATCAATATCATTGAGCAAATTTGCCTGATCTGAAATAACGTCGTTATCAGCAAGCTGCAAACCTTTAGATGCAAAGAATCCTCACTACGTGAGAAGGATATTATAGGTCGAAAATTTTAATTGCTTGATTAACGAAATCCTTAATTTTTTGTATTCTTTCCGGAATAACCTTTTCTGGATCTTCATCATTACCATACTTCAAGTAGGAAAATTCCATTATCTTGACACATGCATCTTTTTAGACGATCATGATTAACTATATCCTCGAATCTTTTGATATCTTTATATCAACTAGTATTATGAAACCGGTGCTGGCTTCCTTGTACTTCTAACACGATTTGGTATTTTTGAAAGAAAGCGTCAAATTCTAAGAAAGGAGGACAATATTCAATTATCGGTTTTTCATTGAATATCTTGAGTGCATTTAGTCGGAATTTACGATTTTTCTTAAACCCCAATTCTTTTTGAAGTACTGTTTCAACTTTATAATTCTAGTTAAAAGATCATTATCTGCATCTTCAAGTTTAGAAATTCTTTCATTAGACGAATCAATTCTGGATTGTGTCCTATTTTTCTAAGAAAAGCATGGCATGTCTTTTCTAATTTTGTAAAAATCCAATTCATTTATAAATCTGGCATAATTGTATAGTGGTTTTGCCAATAGTTCAAATGATACTGAGTTGTATTTGTTCACAAAGAAATCATTATCTTGAAATCTTTAACTTATTATTTAAATTGTAGATTATGGAAATAACACATCAAAATGTATTAATCACCAAAATAATAACAGAAAGGTTGTTTATACAATTGAAGACCAATAAACTCTTTGGAATGCACTAGGCATTTTTTGTTAATGTATTGAAACCATATGAATTCATTATAAAGGCATCGGAATCTGAACATGCTAGCCTAGGTCATATTGTTGCATCTTGGGCATGACTGAGAAAATACTAGTTCAGTCAATTAATTTGATGCAAGAAATTAAAAAAATTGTGTTTTTTGGTCACTTGATATTTACATCCCCTTCATCATGGTAAAGGAATTAATTCAGCACACACACTAAAAATTCAAAAATTTATTTTGTTCTTATATCCTGATTTGGATGGCAATCAATTCATTAATGAATGGCATAACTACTTGTATAAAGAAAGTTATTTTAAATCTAATTCATTATGGCAACCATCATAACAAGCAAAGTGTTTTAGCTTTGCGTCCAAACCTATCAGTTTTTGTTTCTGGATTGTTTGCAATTCCACCAAACTCTGCTACATTGGAAAGAATCTAGTCTCTCTTTGGTAATATTCATACAGAACGGCATAACAAATTAAAGCTAGAACGTGTTGCAAATTGGCAAAAATAGGATGGTTGACGAGCCAATAGTAATAGTAGTAGAGTGTACTTTTATGAATTGTTTGTTAATAGTTTGTGCTAAATTTATATTATTGTTAGATAAGCTTGAGTCTATTATAACCTTTTCTTTTGCTGGTTTGAATTTTTTTTATCATTCTCCATTTATTTATTTAGATATTTTACCCTTAAAGTCAATGTCAAATTAGAAGTTAAAATGTAAATTCTTCAAAACGTGTCTATTCTTTGCGCTTAAGCCAATAAAAATTAAATTCTAAATATTTCTGATTATCTTTGTGACGCACAAAAATTATAGCTAGCCAATTAACATTGTCTTACAAAAAAACCTTTATCCAAAAAAAACGGGAATAAATGATGAAAATAGCCAAAAAAGACGAAGATTCAGGTGATTTTGCTTAAAAACTTACTATTTATAATTAATTACGATAATGTGTATAACTTGGAGTTGTTTATTTATAAAATCATCTATAATTTATATGTAAATTTTGGAAACAAATTTATAGGAGATTTAGGAATATTTTATCTCCTTGACAAATCTACTGTACTTCAAGAAGCTCGTGTTTTCAATGAAACACCAATCATTCCAAGAAAATGTCGCCTATTACTTACAAAGATTATATATTTATTATATCTTGGTGAGCCATTGGCAACTACAGAGGCTACAGAACTTTTCTTCGGTGTAACAAAATTATTTCAATCTAAAGATGTAAGATTTAATTTTTGTTATTCCTTCAAATATATAAAACTTGAATACATCAAATCAATTTAACATTAACTAGGGCTATTTTATTATTGTATAGATTGCTCTTCGTCAAATGGTATATTTGGTTATTAAGGAATTGTCTACTGTTGCTGAAGATGTTATTATGGTTACTAGTAGTTTGATGAAGGATATGCAGCCAAAATCTGAAGTAATTTATCGAGCAAATGCAATTAGAGCACTTTGCAAAATTATTGATGTAAATAATTAATTGAGTTCATGTTTATTTATTAGTCATGATTTTTTATTATTATATATTGATAAATAATGATTATTATAATTATTTAATATCAAGGCTTCAATGCTTCCAAGCGTTGAACGTTTTCTTAAAGCAGCTATTGTTGATAAGACACCATCAATATCATCCGCTGCAATGGTTTCTAGTTATCATTTATTTTCTTCGGGAAAAGATGTGATTAAGAGATGGGCAAATGAAGTTCATGAAGCTATAAATTCAAAGCCATCTTCGCTTGTTGGAGCAGCATCATCATATTTAACATCATTTTCCTCAAGTGGATCTTCATACAACATGCCACAATCTACTAGCAATATCAATCAATATCATGCTTTAGGATTATTATATTTGATCCGACAACATGATAGAATGGCAGTAACAAAATTAATACAGCAATTATCTGGCGGCAGTAATAGTAGAGGAAGCTTTGGTCCATCTAGTAGTGTTTTACGTAATCCATTTGCATATTGTTTATTAATCAGATACACCGCCAAAATTTTAGAGGATGATCCTAAGTAGGTTGACTAATACATTTTATTTTACTGGCTTGACTGGCTTGTTTGTTTATTTGTTTATTAATTGGATATATCATTTAATGAAATCAAGTTCAAGACAACATACATATGAACTTTTAGAAGGGTGGTTAAGACATAAAAGTGAGATTGTGAATTTTGAATCGGCAAAAGCAATATGTAACATCAAAGATGTAACAATCAAAGAATTATATCCGGCTGTGAATGGTAAATTAGTTTAAATTTAAAAGAAACTTTTTTAATAAGAATTATTATTTAATTATTTGTTAAATTTTTTTGTTAGTTTTACAATTATTACTTTCTTCGCCAAAATTTACACTACGTTTTGCTGCTATCCGTACACTCAACAAATTGGCCTTGACACACCCTACTGCCGTCCAGCCCTGTAATTTAGATATGGAAAATTTGATTACAGATCAAAACAGAAGTGTGGCTACTTTTGCTATCACGACATTATTGAAGGTATGTTTATAAAAGTTAATGAAAGCTTTGATATTTATTTATCTTTAAAGTCAATATTTTATAATAATAAGAGTTTATTTATGAATTTAGACAGGAAATGAGGCTAGTGTAGATCGTTTAATGAAACAAATTACAGGATTCATTTCAGAAATTACAGATGAATTTAAGGTGATTATTGTAGATGCAGTACGATCTTTATGTCTTAAATTTCCATCAAAACAAGTTGTTATGCTTGGTTTCTTAAGTGGAATTTTAAGAGATGAAGGTGGATACGAGTTTAAACGAGCTGTAGTTGAGGCTATATTTGATTTGGTTAAATTTATACCTGAATCCAAAGAAACGGGTAAATTAAATATATGATCAAGTATATGTTGATATATATTTTTTTTTTGATTTAAATAAGCGTGTCACTAAATAACGAAAAATTTTTTTTAACAGCTCTAACACAATTATGTGAGTTCATAGAAGATTGTGAATTTACAAAGCTTTCTGTACGTGTACTTCACCTCCTTGGAGTTGAAGGACCAAAAACTACTACACCTACAAAATATATTCGTTATATATATAATCGAGTGATTTTAGAAAATTCTACTGTAAGAGCTGCTGCTGTTAGTGCACTTGCGAAATTTGGTGTAAGTGTAGATGATCCAGAAGTAAAAAAAAGTATAAAAGTTTTACTCACTAGGTAATATTATGGCAATATGAATAAAATTAAACAAAATCAATAATAATTGATTTCACAAAAATTTTTTTATTTATTTGTAGATGTTTAGACGACAACGATGATGAAGTAAGAGACAGGGCAACATTATACTTAAAATTAATGGAAGATGAATCTGGCGCTGAAAAATATGTTAAAGATGGTCAGTTGTTAAATTTATTATTATTTATATAATTGTAGATATAAATCTATTTTGGTCTTAAAAAAAATACATAGATGTTATAAATTAATCTCTATTTTTTTCAATTATATAGATTCTACTTATTCACTTGCTGCACTTGAAAGACAATTGGTGCAATATGTAAGCAATCCAGAGTCAGCAGAAAAACCATTTGACTTGTCGTCTATTCCTAAAATCACTAAAGCTCAAGCTGAAGCAGAAAATTCACAACCTCGAAGCTTTGATTTGTCAGCTACGCAAACTATTGGAGTATCATCACCCGTCGTTTCAGGAATTGTTAATTCTTCAATTATTAGTACTAGTAGAGATGCAACCCCTACACCAGGAGTTGATCAGCAACAAGTTTATGTACAACAATTGGAAAGGATACCTGAAATAGCAGCATTTGGAGTCTTATTCAAAAGTTCTAAAGCAATTGAACTCACAGAAAGCGAAACAGAGTATGTTGTTAGTTGTATTAAACATATGTTCAATGAACATGTAGTCTTTCAGGTAAAAATCAATATTAAATCAAAAATCCCTTTTTATTTATAAGTTTTATTAAGACAATTAATGCCCTTTTATTTAAAATTATATATAGTTTATTATCAACAATACACTTAATGAACAATTGTTGGAAAATGTAACCGTGTTAATGCAACCAGAGTTGGATGATGGATTTTTGGTTGAGGAGTTTGTTATTCCAGTACCAACATTACCATATGATCAACCCAGATCAGTATATGTTGCATTTAGGAAAGTAAATCCTGAAGAATATCCTCTTGCAAGTTTTTCAAATACATTGAAATTTTTAGTTAAAGAATGTGATCCAACAACTGGAGAATCTCAAGAACAAGGAATTGAAGATGAATATTTGGTAAATAATATATATATATATATATATATAAATCTTAAAAAAAGGGAATTTTGAGAAATAAAGATAATTATTATTCATAATATGATAGGTTGAAGATATTGAAGTTGTTACTGGTGATTATGTTGTTCAGTCATATCTTAGTGATTTCCAAGCTGCTTGGGAACAACTTGGTGAAGATGGACAAGTGGTTGAAACATTTGCATTAACAGCAATTAAAAGTTTGAAAGGTAAGAAAATGATAAAATGGTTTATTTTTATATTAATTTATTAATTTGCAATTTTGAATTTTTATTATTAGCTGCTTGTACAAAATTAATTGATTTACTTGAAATGAACCCCGTTGAAGATAGTGGCACACCTCAATCAAATAACGTACACACATTATTGTTATCTGGTGTGTTTTTGGGTGGTAGTAAAGTCCTTGCAAAATGTATAATGACATTTGCCCAAAGTACAGGTGTAACCATGGAATTATCTATTAGATCAGAAAATGAAAATATTAGCCGATATGTTATTGGGGCTGTTGTATGATAGAATGATATTTTTATTTTAAATATTTATTGTTTTTTTTTGTAATTATATAGAAATTAAAAATATACACGATAAATTATCAAACTAATAAAAAATACAAGAAAAATCAATGCAAGAAAATACCTTTTTTCTAAATTTGATAAATAAAATAAGCAAATCAAATATTTTCTACAACATACATTTGATTTATTCTAAGAAAAGTTGTCACACGAAATTTACTTGGTCTCAATTTCTTAAGTGTATAATAATAACAAATTCGGATATAATTTTTTGTTTTAGTATTTTGAAGTTGACCAATTGTTACTATAAGCAACTAAATGATTATAAATGATCTGCACCGTACTAAAAAAAATCATTTTATAGATTTTGGAGGAATAAAAAATTTAAAATGTTACTATATGTAGTATAAAAGATATATAAATATGGTAATGTTTAAAATAATTGGATATAATATACGTATGAATACAATGTCAATAAAACTATAATAAAAATGTTCTTGCTTTTATAGCTGAACAAATATGGAAAGCCAAATTTTCCAGTGCTGGAAATTTATAAAACCATTTAATGTTTTAATATAGTCTTCAAGACTCCCTCCACAAAGATAAGGTAGAATAATTACTATATTCTCCTCATCAACATAATCATCAACTACCTTTATAATATTCTTGTGATTTAAAATATTTTCAATATATCCAATTATTCTATTTTTGTTAAATTTTCCATCACTGATAGTTTTAGCAGCATAAATGTTATTGTCATAATGATTATCTGATCTAATTTTTTTAACAATGCATGATTTGCCAATTTCATTATGCCATTACTACCATCCTCATTATTTACAACATGATATCTTTCTCCTGATCGAACAGGTAAACGGTTCTTTACTTCTCTGAATTGATTTTCAAAATCAGTTTTAGCATCTTCAAAAACTGTACTTCTATATAAATATAATCAAATAAATAAAATATTAACCAAATATATAAACACATGTAAATTAATTGATTTCTACTACTTACCAATAAAGCCCTCTTGGGTCTTGACCGAGATTTTATTATCATGCTTTAAAACATGTTCTTAAGAGCCTATTATTAACGAGAGTTCTTTTGTTCTAACCATTTTTTATAATTGTTTCAAAACCTAATTCCTTAATAATAATATTATTATAGAAATGATAATGATTTCAATATGTGCATATAATAGATGTGGATGATTGATTAAATTATTGTTACTTACAATTGAAATTATACAATGTATACTTGCAACGTACATTGGATTGTTAATTCGTAAATTGCATGCCAGTAGTTATACGATTTTGAACTTCTGATAAAACAACTTTTTGATTTAGGTATACGACAAATGAAATTGGCTTAGCTTCGATTTTAGCAAGCTCAGCTCTGAGTTTTAGTATTTTTTTGTAGCGCACATCAAGGGCAGAATCATAATAACTTCCTTACTTTTGTTATTGAATCGTCCCATATATTTTAAGATGCTTGCAGATCGTGTAGATCATTCTCAACTACTTTTTAAAATGGATGACGACGATAATATAGATGATATTCCTGGCTCGCCTTCTAAATTCGATGAGCAATTCGGTGAAGTAGTGGATGAAGAGAGAGATAAAATCCAAAGGTTGAATATGAGACATCCTCATTCATCAACTGCTGTCAGAGATTATTTGAATAAGACTGTAGTTTCAAACTTAATTGCTGGAATGAAAAAATTGGTTATAGAAAAGTAAGAATTTCTAATCTCAAACATCTATTGCTTGTATTAAACGTTAATCAATGTATTAAACATTAATTTGTTATCTATAATTCATAAAAATAATATTAATATTATATACATATCACTCAATAAGACCACAAAATCCTTGTGAATTTCTAGGTAGATATTTGATTGAACATTGTGATCATAATCACGTCAAAGAGGAAAATTTTAAACATGAAAAAAAAAATATTATCACACAAGAGAATAATAACAATTTATCACCACATAATGAACATCAAAAATCTCAAAGTGAAAGTGATTCGAGCATGATGGACATCGTGGATGGAAGTGCTGGTGCTGGTGCTGCTTCTGCTTCTGCTTCTGCTTCTGCTAGTGGTGATGGTGATGGTGATGGTGATGGTGATGATGGCAATGATGATGGTAATGAAGATAGCAGTGTCAGCGGTGGTGGCAATAGTAATAAAGATATAGATATTGACATTATGAATTTAAATTTTCTTACAAATTAAAGAGAAGAAAATAAAGATTGATATTTATAAATGAATCCAACCATTTATTTATTTATATGCCTTGGTAAAATTTATTTTATTTATTTGAATTTGGATGTCTTGTTATTTTTATTTTCAAAAAAAAAAAAAAAAAAACTAAAATATCCAAATTTCAGAAACCACCACTTATATTGATAATATTATATATATAAATGAACACAATTAATTAATAAAACATCCTGCATGCACAGCGAGTATTACTTCCTTTGCAAGTTGATAAATAGAACGAAAAGGAGGTTCAATTCCAGGAGTCAATTCAATAACATGGTCGATCTTTCTTTGAGTGGAAGAGTGTCTGGAAATACATCAACGAATTTTTTTATTATCACCGAGGAAAAATTAGGAGCAACATATTAATATTAAGTTATAATATTAAGTTTAATACTTTACCATATTTAACAACGCAATCATTTTCGTAATAATTCATAAAATTTACAAAATAGAGTTTATCATTGATTTTTCTTTATTATTTTCATTCAAAAATAACATAGAAGTTTTTACTTGGGCTGAGCTCTCCAATGAAGCTCTAAAAAAAAGTAGCTGCAGACATCGCTAAAATACGAACTGTTAACGAAAAAACTGAAAAAAGATTATTGACAAAAACACCGTGCTGATTTCAACAGGCTGTGAGTTTGAGAAAGAGTTATAAGAAAGAGATGCACAGATGTGCAAGATGTACGAGAGGTAGAAATGAAAGAAGGTCTAGGAATACTAGTTCATCCATTGACCACCATTTTGGAAAGATTCTCGTTAACAGCATTGGAGCAAGGTCCATGTGTTGATTGAGCCAATGCCAAACGTTTATAATAAAATATGAAAATGTATTCCTTCTGAAATGGCGAAGAAATTTGTGTCAAAATGTAATCCTTCACGACAGGCTGAAAATTAAATGACATAATAATAAGTCAGCATCTGAAAAGAAAGTCACTTAACAAACCATCTTGTTTACAATTGTCAGATAGGGTGATGAAAAGTCACCGATGCTAGCATTCGAGGAGGTTGTATTCCCGGGAGAGCTTTGAAAGAACATTGATATGAGATAGTGTTCATGATAATAATCGGATATAGAAGACTAATAGAATAAATAGAGCTGGATCCTGAACTTATGAGGCATGTGTCTTACCGGTGAATAATATATGAAGTTAACTATCAGATAAAGAAAAGAAAGCCCTGAAATTTGAGTGACAATTAAAAAGCTGTATAAGGAAAATGAGTCAAGACTTTGACTTGAGCTGCAAGAGTCAAGTCTTGAGTATCCATAAGTTTTCAATTTATTTATTTCGTAAAATATTGATTTTCGAATTATTATTACTCGAAAACCATCAAGCGAACAAAAATTTGCTAATAGGTAAAAAAGTCAAAGTATTCCCAATTATCCACTTATCCAAATTAAATCATGCATAAGACGATTTGTTATAAGAAACAACTTAACACCCACAAGATTAGTTATCACACTATTTTTCATGTTTTTTAAAGTCAATGCATTTATTTCAATGAATTCTGCATCTGAAATATATATAATAATAATAGGGACACCTGGATGTCAAATTGGAAATAGACCAGATATCCAGAATCAGGATTATTTATATTGAGCAATTGAATAGTCAGATACAAATTTTTGTGTATGGATGATTGACAAACATCCAGATGTTTGACGGATATAACCAATCACTCTTTCTTAAAAACAAAAGATCCAAGACAAAGGAGACATTTCTCCAGATCAGCGAAATTTGATTTTTGCAGGAACGCAATTATAAGATAATAATAAAAATGAATCCACTCTTCAATTAGTTTTTTCTCAATAAATAATATTCATTATTGTTATTTTAGAAAGTTATTATATAATTGCATTTGGGATTTGTCTATCACATCCAAATTCATCACTTTCATCTCTTATTCTAGATATACTTGGTGTTATTATCAACTCCAGGAGACTGAAATACCAATCCAACAAACAGCTCCAACTATTGTAGCAAAATTTGTTGAGACTATTAATTTACGAAATACTCGGATAATTAACATAAATTTATTATATAACGCTCCTGTGCGTAAATCGAACAGAAGTATAGAAGATAGTTCAAATATAGATTCAGAATAAATATAATATTACTTTTGCATGTGTATTTCTGGAATGTATTTTCTTGGTAAATTTGAACAACCTGAGGTCTGGGAAATTCTTGACAAATTTTTCTCGCTTCTAGATATCTTTTGCTTAACCTTGGTAAAAGATCAACTCCTCTAAATTACATTAAACGATTTCCAAACTCGTTCTTTCCACTCTCCAGTAGTTTAGATGTCAATTAACTGACACACCATATATCCTTGAGTTATTACAGGCGTACGAAGGCTTGCTCGTTTGAATCAATAACTAAATTTTATTTGATTTGTGCCCTGATCAATTGAATTGAATTACTATATGTCCTTTTCCATTAAATTATCAAGTGTTATAATATTCCATTTCTAATATTTGGATTACTATAATAATTAAACTGAAAATTTTAAAGCAAGCATCGAATCTATTATGTTTATCTATTAAATCATAAATATATAGTCATAAATTTGTTTAATCAAAATAATGTTTACCAATCTTTTTAATTAAAATTTAATGTTTGTCATCATCAGTTGTTATTATTTTGTGTAAAATTTAGGATTCTCAATTTTAATTCAATCTTTATCTTCTACTAATTACTATCTTGATGCTATTTTCAAATTGGAATATTAATTTGCACCATTGTTTGTTAACTAGAACACGTATATAATCTTGGACATATTTTTGATACTTCACTTGATAATAATAGTCTGGATGTCAAAGTTGAAATTGACGTTGTTTTTTTTTTAAAGAAAATTGAAAATTTTAAAAGTTTGCTGCTATTATCTTAAGTAAAGATCATCAGGATTTTTTTTTTCAAAAATTGAAACAATTGAAACGAGGTTTGATTGTATTAGTATTAGTATAATATATGGCATCAGCAGTAAGTTTACTGGATAGTGGTTCAACAGAAATAATTAATCCAGATATTTATTTTCAAATCCATTTTCCTCCAAAAAATTTAAAAGAGAATGAAAATAAAATCCAAGAATTTGTTGATAAACATCAAAAAAATGGCAGAAGAGTTGCATTAGTTACAGTAAATTTTTGTACACTTACCTAATTGATTGGTTAATTAATTAATAATACCTTTGCCAATACAATCAGTATTTAATTAATTTAATGTAGAGTGGAGGAACAACAGTACCACTTGAAAATAATACAGTGAGATTTTTAGATAATTTTAGTGCTGGAAGTCGTGGTGCAATTTCTGCTGAATATCCTTTATTTTCTTTACTATTTTGATTTAATTTTTTCCTAATCACCTACCTAATTAACAATTAATTAATCAAATTATAATATCATTAACAATTAATCTATTAAATAATAACACGTATTTTCTTGAAGCAGATTATGCTGTCATTTTCATGCACAGACAGTCTAGTTTACAGCCTTATAGTAGACATTATACTCGTACAAGTAATAATTTTTTGGATTTGTTTAAATTAAAAGATGATGGAAGTGTTTCAGGTGAGAAAGAAATTTGGAAGTGATTTTTTTTTAGTTATTTTATAAGCAATAATAAAAATTATTATTGACAGTTAATGATCAAGATCAGCAAAAAATGAAAATAATCTTGGAAAAATATCAAAAAGTAAACATCTAAATTTAAAAAGTTAAATTTATTTTTCAAATCAAACAATTAATCATATATATATAAAATAAAGTTTAAGCGGGAGGAAACACTTTTATTCATAGATTTTGTAACTGTGACAGATTATTTGTTTCTTTTAAGAAGTGCTACTCAAATTATGGATAAATTAAAGGAGAATGCTATGTATTATCTTGCTGCTGCTGTTAGCGATTTCTTTATTCCAGTTCAAAAAGTGGTAGGCTTGCGTATTTTAATATTATATATATATCATTATTTATTTATTTATATCTTCATTTATTGTTTAGTCTCAACATAAAATACAATCAGGAGAAGGTGCTTTAACATTAAAGATGGATCAAGTTCCAAAATTTTTAAAACCAATGGTAACAAATTGGGCACCTGAAGGCTTTATAGTTTCTTTTAAGGTAATGTTTTCAATGTTTAAATTTATTTTCCAAATTTTTCTCATTTAAAATTATTAATATGCATATATTATTCTTTTAAAAAAAGTTAGAGACTGATCCATCACTTTTAGTTGAAAAAGCAAGAAAAGCCTTAACAAGATATGGACATCAAATTGTTATTGCCAATCTTTTAATGACACGTAAAACTGAAGTAACTTTTGTCACCAATGATTCAGAATTAGAAATAAAATTAGATGAAAAGGAAATATTAAATGAAAGTGAAATCGAATCCAAGATCATTCCAGAACTAGTAAAACAACATGAGAAATGGATAAATAAAAGTTAATCAATAATTGGATTATTAATGTTAAATATTTATTTATTTTGAGTAATAAATGTTCAGAGGGGGGGTAAAGACATAATTATTGGAATTTATAATTTATTCTTATTTCTTGAATAAGCAATGATTTTTTATTTTTAAAATAATGTAAATCAATATAGTCTAACTTTGAATATGTATTATTAATATTAGTGTTCAATAAATTATTTTTTTTGGAAGGGAAATTATCACTAAAATTCTCCTAAAACATTCATCATTGCAATTGAATTATCTTCAGAATTAATAGAATTTTTGACACGTGAGTATTTCAAAGTTGGTGAATCTACAAATTCGGTTTCATTGTCACCATCACTATAATTGCAGTAGCCATCATCAATTGAATTGGTCTTGATTGGAGAAAAGTTTGCATTCTTTGCTAATAATTCTAATGGTGGTAGCAGCAATGTAGTAGTTATTGTTGGCAATGGTATTGATAATGTGCTAGTATAATCTTTTTCATGACAAGAATTAGTGATTATATCTCGAGTTGATATTTTAGTTGCTTGGTTTATTGGCAGATTATTTGAATCATTATTTGAAATAGAATTTAATTCTGTGACATTTATAGAATATAAACAATTATCTTGAGAAAGATGTTTTGTGTTTGATGATTGATCATCATCATTGTCAATATCAAGACCATCATCATTGTTATCATCTTGAATATGCTTTTCTTCTATATTATGGATTTCTTGATTTAATGTCATGAAATCTGATTGAAAAGTGTTTTCATTATCTTTTAACCATCTTAAATCTTGTTTTAAAAAATTTACATCCAACTGAAGTCTAGCATTTTTTTTTTCAAGATTATGAATACGTCGATTGATTTCATCCTGTTTATTTCATTTTTAGTAATTGTAATTATCATGCATGTTTATATTTCAGAAAAGAAAATTCAAAAGAAAGATGTTTGCTTTTTTACCGACCCGTTCTTCAACATTTGAATCTGTTTGCAATTATTTAATCAATCAATAATTTATTAAAGATTGGTCAAATTTTTTATAAAAGCAAATTTGTACATACATAATGCTTTTGATTTTCTTTTGTTATTTTTCCCAATTAATTTCAATTTGTCTTTTTTTATTTTTGTGGATTTGATCTTTTTATTGTTCAAAATGGGATCTGAATCACTGTCAACGTGGCTATTGTGTTCTATCAAACCATTATTGAAATTTGAACTTGATAATGATTTTGATTTGGTTTCTGTACTGCTATTTAATGTGGCAGTTGAAATGGTTTTTAGGCTGTATAGTAAAGTTCCTGAATTATCATCCTGTTGTTGAATAATATCAGATGTGGTTGATTTATGAGAAATGCTATTGTTCTCTATTTTTGTCAAGTTATCATCATTGACATCATCACTTTTACTTCTCAAAAAATCATGCCATTTTAATGAATCCGAACTGATAGAAGGTGCTATCAAAGTGGTAGCAAAATTTCTTACTGATGATATTGAATTAATATTTGTAAATTCTCTTGATGATGAATGTGGTGATGGTTCGGATTCCTCATATAACACTTTCTTCTTTTCAGGTTTATTTCTAAATTTATTTGCAAGAATAATATAATAATAGGCATTCAAATATTTTAATCAATATAGATCAAATAATCAATCGATCGATCTTTACTTTTTATGTAAACCATTGTCACTAATATTTCGGTTTTCAAATAGGTCATGAGCATCACTACTCTCGCTTTTCTCTAATAATAAATAAATAAAAATAAATATGATTTTATAACAGAAATAATGATTAAATTCAAAAAGTATATATTAAATTGATTTTTTACCTGATCTTTTTAAAATGGTCTATACATACATATGTGGGGGGGGGGGGATTAAGACCAAATGTCAATATTTAATATGCTATAAGATGAATATTTCATGATAATAATAATAATATTGTTAAATACTGTAATAATTGAAGAAATATTAATTCCTGCCCAATCATCATTGTCTTTTAGTAGATGTAATTTACGATTTTCAATATCTTTTAAATAATAATAATAATAATAATAATAATAATAACAATAATAATAATAAATTATTAATATAAATTACAAGAAAATATTTCAAATGATAATGTAAAAATATTAAAAATATATAACCAGAATCGATATTTTTTTGTTGCAAGCTTGTGTCAGTTGCTGATTTTTCTTTAGTGATCAAATCAAAAGCAGAATTAATTTTATGATCATTTATAAAAATATTTGCTTTCGAATGTTCAAGATCAAATAATATTGATGATGGTAACGATTTAGTTGTTATTTTATGATCAAGATAATTTTTATCTTCATCTTCATCTTCATCTTTTGATTCATTAATAATCACCATCATGTTGTGATTATTATTTTGTTTTCCCGATATGAGATTATTCTTTGAAAGCTGTCGATTAAAAAATTCACGTTGTTTCTCTTTTTCTGTTTTTAATTTGAAATTATTTCTATTTATATGAATAATAAAAATAAATTAATTATATTTTATATTGCAATTAATTCACACACATATTTATAAAAAATTAAAACATTTATTTATTCTAAACCTTTTGCTTCCAGTCCAATTCATATTAATTATAATAATATGTACCGATTGTTTGAAAAAAATTAGAACGCGTTTTTGTTGAATTCAGGTTACACCATTTTTAACAGAATGATTAATTTAATTTTCTATTAGAAATAGATCAATTAAATGCCAATTCTGTGGATTTTCTGGACTTTACGATCCTTGCGATATTATAAAATGCGGTCTTCTATTATTTTGTATATACATGAAAATAGTTTTCAAATTAATACAAGTCGACCACAAAATCCTATAATTTACTAATTTTGTTTTTTTCGATATGCTTTTTTTACCCACGTGATCTTCATCCACTCAACGTTTTTTTTAAGTATTACGTAAAACTCGTATGAATTGATCGACAAGGGAGATCGATTTCCAAATTTGATATATTACCTGACTGTCTGTACTCGGTATAATAACATTAATATTAATATGAAAAAAAATTTTTATTTCAACGCGTCCATTCAGATTTAATTAACCATGAGCGAGAATCAAGGTTTATCATACCCTATTAAAGTTGAACGAGCGCAAAATGTTTTGACCATAATTCCAGAAATTTTACATCCTGCTCAAATCGATGGACAAGGTCATATACAAAGAGTCATACCTATCCTTGAAGGGAATAATGATATATGGACGGATAGGGAAATAATGGCTCTATTAACTTATATTGACATTAACTATAATTTGTATAAAAAATATATAAAACATTTTTGCAATAGTCTCACCAAAAGTGTTTTCAAAGATAGAAATCCAAAAGATATTGAAAACCAAATTCTAAATTTAAGAAGAATTTACAGACAACAACATACTACTCGCTCAGAAATGGCAAAGTCAGTGAGGAATTCGGTTTGGTATGATGATCTAGTTAAACTTTTTAATAAAGAATTTGAAGGAATTAAAGCTTTGTGGGAAATTAATATAGAAGATAATCTACGTGATTTTCATGATTTTTACCATCATACTATTCCTTATATTAATAGATATGTTAATTGGAGTGTTGAAGACTCACTTAAAATGATTAATGTCATTGATACATATTTAGAGATATTTATTAAAGATACTGGTGTTTTTTTTCAATGGATGTCTGAAAAAGTTTTTTTAAGGTCTACTTCTATCTCAATAAAAATTAGGTTTAAGCATATGATAAAATCATATAAAGAAAAGAAGTTGGATGAAGAGTTGTTTGAAAGATTGGATCAATTTTATCCAAAGTATATAAAAATGAAAGATAAAAAAAAGGAAAACCGTATAGACTCTTTAGAATGGACAGCTGTAGAAACAGTCACTCTATTTAAAACTTTAGTTGAAAATATAAATATATATCTAGATAATAAAAAAGTATTTTATAAATGGATAAAACAAACCATTTTTAAAAATAGGTCATCATACTCTATAAAAAATAAAGTTGCAACTTTTAATCCTAGTTCTAAATTATTTATCATGAGAAAGACAGAGAATCTTACTGAAGAGGACAAAGAAATTTATAGATGGGTTGATGAATTTTTTTCAATTTATTTTGATAATAAAAAAAGAACAAAAGGTAATGAATCACAGAAAAAAATAAACGCTCAAGATGCAATAAAAAGGAAATTGATAAAACGAAAGCAGTTGTCAGCTTATTATGGAGTTAGTGAAGAATTATTAAATGTTTCAGATGATGATAAAGAATTATCGGCTGCTGATGATAAAGAATTATCAGCTGCTGATGATAATGATTCAAGGTACTTTATATATATATATATATATATAATATATTCATTTACATTAATAATATTAATAGTGATTATATTTTTACCAAAAGTTTATGTGCTTCAGAAAAAAATTATTGGCCTAAGCCTCCAAATGTTGTGGATAGGTTTGTGGATTTTTTATAATATAAGAGACAAGAAAACAAGAAAACAATTAATTTTTTAATATAGTGTTTGTGTATTATTATATTAGGGCTTTTCACAAATACATTCCTTCAGATTTATTTGATCTTGATGCTGTACAGTCTTCAAGTCAAAATATTGTTCATGCAATAAATGCAGATGATGATGAGACAGGTTATGCGGATGATGGTGAGGAACGTTGTGCGGGTGATGATGTTAAATATGCATTTTCATATGGATTAGAGAAGCCATATCGACCTTCGATTAAAAGTATCCATCAACCATTTAAGGGCTGTCTTACCAATCCAATTGATGGCCTTATAACTCAAGAAATCAAAGTTCTTTTAGAGATTATTAACAATTTAATAATAAGTAACCAGTCACTTTCCGAACGTAATAATGAGGAATTTCAACAAAATAAATTGTTTTCAGTTTCACAAAATCATTATACATCAGTGTTTGTTCATTGTGCCTTAAATCAAATTTTAGATTCCATTGGATTTCTTTATACTGTTAACTCTCAAAAGTATTTCGTTATTTTTATATTACAAAAATCTATTTTTTTGTGGGAAGTTGCATAAATGCTAGGTTATTTAAATTGAATTTTACTAATATTTTAGATGTACAAGTAAAAAGCGAAAAAAGCCCCAATTTGATGTTGATGATGATGAAGATGACGATGATGACGATGATGGTCATAGGGAGTATACCAAAAGTAAGATTTTATATAATATTTTGATTACTTAACTATATATCCATGTCAATCACAGTTATTCAATATTTATAATTTCATATAATAAGATACTACGGAAAGTATTGAGGGAAACATTACATGGATACATACTACTTTTGTACCACAGTATATTTCATCACTAAATGACGAATATAATGTTGATGATGATGAATTTAAAAGTGGACCATTAATTATTGTTGATGACGATGATGATGATGATGATCAGTCAATGATTTATGATTTCTGTCAACAAAATGGAGACGCGGCAATTAAATGGGATGCTGTATTACATGCAGCACAAATAGCTGGAATTGATCAGAGGCAAATATTTTGGATATTGTTGATAATAGTCACATACTATCTATACATATTATATTAATTAACTCATTTTTAATTATTTTAGTGTAATTAAAAACACATACAATCGTATTTCAAAATATTATGACAAAGATAGACAATTTTCAGGTATTTAATAATGATTTTATTGATTAATAATGGGAATAAACTACACAAGTTGATTAACATTATATAACTTTTCATTAGCCAAATGGGGTTCGTTTTTTTTTCAGGGCAAAATTGATGATCAATCTGAAGAAAACTAATTACTTTATCATTTATTATTTTATTGTTCGCATATTAAACAAATTATAATTAAAAATTTATATTTACAATCAATTACTTTATATATAAAAACATGATTAATCTTGATGGCCTTCCCATACTATACTATTTGGATTCATCATCATTGAAATCGTGTTGTAACATTCCTTTGTTATTGTTCTAACAGTAATTGTATGGATCATTAAAATATTTGTTAATTATTTCATGCATTTTGGGTTTGTCAATTGTCAAAGTTTTAAAATCCAATTATAAATATTTGTTTTGTGTTATTAACAAGCGGAAAACATGTGGGGGTCCCCTAGCAAAAGGTACCTTAAGTTATAATAAATATTTTTGAGCAACAATACATAAATTAAAAATTTCAAGCCTCGTATCTCATTTTTTTTAGTAAATAAAGAGGGGACAGATTCCTTCACCAGTTATAATCCTTATAATATAAATATATATTATGCAAAAAACCCAAGTTTGGTTAGAGGGCATTTTTGCTAGAGAACCCCCATATAATGAATGACCAATTGTTTTGTTAAATCTTACTGACCAGGAGAAGAAAGTGTGTTGAAGAAGTGTTGTCTAGTATATTGACTAGTGTTAATGGTTTGTGTAGGTGCATAGATTCTCGGGAAGATGGTAAAATGGAATAAGGAGTTGATGCACCAATGGCAATTCCTAAATGAGGACCCCGAGGATTTATAGTGTAACCACACTTGAATGAAATACATGATGGGTTGATACACTCAACAGCACCATGTATTTTGACACTAGTGATCTTGCCATTGATGATTGTGCAAGCCTAGTCTGTTGGAAACACCATACACAAGTTTGTGAAGATTGATATTCATTAGTCATTCCAACAGAGTAAGCAATATCTTCTATGCTACTCCTTCATCTTACTACCACCTCTACAATTATATGAGAATTAACACCCATACCAGTTATACCAATTAACACAATTGACAGGATAAATGAATGTGATTTTGGACATTCAAGGTATGAATATCGAAGAGAGCAAAAGGTGTGATGGTTTTACAAATCACATCAAGCTGTGATGCAGTTGATGATGACAATGGTGATTGTGATAATGATGTTGATGAGGATGCCGATAAGGATTGTTTATTTTGGACTTTTATTTTACATAATTCCTTTCTGCAGCATCAAGTTTTGTCCATGTTCTCTTTGTACAAAGCTGTTGATTATGGTGATCTTCAATTGAGATTTGGAATATTCAAAAATTTTCAGATCTCAACCAAACTTTTGATGGATTTTATGAGCTGAATTAATTTCTGACATGGTCTAGGCTGTTTTAAGAATATGTTCCTTTTATGCAAGAATATGTATAATTTCCACTGCCTTATTATTCTCCGATTTTTAAGAAATTCTCAATGCTTCATTTGTTTAAAGCATGTGAAACTTCGTTGATGTAATTTAGAAGTTTTATTTTACCAAGATGAGGGGGATGATGATCAACATCCGCGGGTTCGGTACTACTGTCATATTTAACTCCCAATGAGCATATCTCGTATTTTTTCAAAATTATAAATTTTTGTATTTAAGAAACTTTTGCTATAAAATTCATGAAGAGGAAGTTAACGGTAATGATAGAATCCAAAGTGAAAAAATGGATACTATTCACGACAAGGCAAACAAGCATGAAAGGTACGTTGATGCATGCTCCAGATTCATAATAAATTTGGATGGGGGTTGAAAAGTTGGTCCAGATTATAATTGAGGTAGCGGTATGTCCAAAATCAGGTAAAGCGATTTTTAAGTCATATGAAATTATGGGTAGAGCAAAAAATTTAAATAGAAAAATAAGCAAGGGTTAAATTGTAATCGATATAGAAAAGTTTCGTGTCCTTTTCCATTTTAAGTAAATTTTCTAAATTTGTTATTATTTTCATTATTTTTTTTCAAATAATGTTTTCAGCATAATGGAAATTTGAAATGTTGCACTAATTTTTTATATTGTGCAACGTAGCTTTACAATACACGGCAAATATTCTGGCAATAAAAAGTAAGTGATAAACTGGATTTGAATTGGATCTGAACTTGATCTCCAATTTAGAAAGGTAACGACTATATACTGGCGAAGTTTCAGAAGCAATGAGTTCTGTATAACGTTTCGTGTAACAACAAACTTCCACTATGCTAATGTTTTCCTAGTTCTTTAAATATGTTTGATTTTGAATTAAGTTTTTGTGTAAATAAAAAATTTGTGATACAAGATTACTAAAATTAAAAATCACACCTGTACTTGTTTTTCATGACATTGATATGGGTGGCATTCAAAAACCAAAAATTTAATTTAAATAATAAATAAATAATAAATAAATAAGAAAACTAAACATCAATCCTTTTTTTTTAATTTTTGTATTCAACCATGGATTACCCTGAAGATGAGTATAATAGTGTTGTTTGGGACACAGGAGCGACTAGCTCTTTGAAACCTGATGAATTGTCAGAGGAAGAGGATAATGTAGCAACAATGACAACCGGAACAACAACAGAGACACCATTTGTAACAACAGACCTTAGCGAGTCAATATCAAGTAACATAGACGAAAACATGTTTTCGGTTTCGGTTAGTTCTTTTATTTTAAATAATTTTCCATTCTATACATATTGTTGTGTTTCATATATGTAAATTGTATTTGAGAGTTTAATATTTAATGAAATAAATAATAAACCAATGATTAATTAATCAATCGATTAATTATATAATAGACACTTGCCCCCTCACCCATTAATAATTCCTTTCAATCAGGATTTATTAATCAGAACAATTCCTTTCAATCAGAATTTATTAATCAAACCAATTCAACACAGTCATTATCACCCAATATCAATATCCCAATTGCTTTTCCTATGACTATTACAGTAACAGATCCAAAAAAGGAGCTTGATGGTACTAAAGATGCGTTCATGTTGTATACAATAACTACAAAGGTAGCAATTTTATTTTCTTGATTAAAGAGAAAATTCTGTATATTCAAACGCGTTTTGGTTTGGAAAATCAACAAGATTAAACAACGGAAAAAAGGTTATTTATACACGCTAGAAACCTTGAATTAAACACGTTTGAATATACAAATTATATTTATTATCTTCAGGCATTTGTGACGGATAAAAATGACCATATTTTTTATTAGACCACTTTAGAAACTTTTACCGCATCTACAGTGAATATAAAACGAAGATTTCAAGATTTTGTATTGTTGCATACATTTTTAAGTAACGATTTTCATGCCTGCGTAGTCCCTCCTTTGCCAGATAAACATAGAATGGGTAATGAATTTTTAAAATTTAAATAGTATTTTATTATTCATCGATTATTAACGCTATCAATGTGTACAATTAGAATATATTACTGGTGATCGTTTTTCGGATGAATTTGTTGAAAAACGTCGTGCAAGGTTTATATTTTTTATAATTCTAAATTATATTTATTTAATATAGATTTAACATCAATAACTTATTTTATTATTATTATTATTATTATTATTATTAAACAGTCTTCAAAGATTTTTGGAAAGATTAGCTAGACATCCAGTATTACAAAAAAGCGAATATCTTAGAATATTTCTGGAATCAAGAGAATGGGTATATGACATATGTATATGCATATATATATGATAAATTTTTATGAAGATATTAATAACCGTTTTTTTTTCCCCAATATTGAATGATGACGATGATGAATAGAATGCTGAATCTTTGGCCATACAAAAGAAAGCAGCCGGTGATGGTATTTTGGAACATTTAGGAGATGCTTTAATTAATGCATTTTCAAGAATGAAAAAACCAGATGAAAGGTTTGAAGAATTAAAAGAAAATATAGATAAACTTGAAGAAAATTTACAAACAGTTGAGAGATTATATCAAAAGATTATTAAAAGACAAACGGGTAATTTATTATTATATAATATTATAATACATTATAATATATAATATATATAAAATTATATTTATAGATCTGGAAGCTGACTATAGAGAATTTGGTAGTACCGTTTCTGGGTTGGGACAATTAGAAACAGGATTGACATCTCATTTAGAAAGTTTTGGTGAAACTTCATCCAAGTTTGCTGACGCTTGGAAAGAATTGGTTTGTAAAGATTTAAATGAATTATAGTAACAGCATTAAAATCGATTGATTGATCGATTGATTTAATGTTATACTTACATTAATACATATATTGATACATATATTAGACAACAAAAGAAGAAAATGAATTTATGATTCAGATAAGAGATTTTCTTAATTATTGTCATTGTGTTAAGGTAAAGATGTTCATACATAATATACAAAATATTACTATAAATACTATACATTATTAATATATATATTGGTAATAATTTATTCCGAATAAATGAATTATTTAATTAAAAAAAAGAATGTGTTGAAATTACGAGATCAAAAACAAGTTGATTTTGAAGCACTTTCAGAATATCTTCAGAATGCAAAATTGGAACTTGATAGTTTTGTGAATACTGGTAAAGTATCTACAAGTATTTCATCGTATATGCGAGAAAGAATTGATAATTTTAAAGGTGTTGATCAAGGTGATAAACGAGAAAGATTGAAAACAAAAATTGCTGAGGTTTGATATTTTATATATTTTGAGATTTTTTTTTTTATATAGAGTTATATTTATATTTAGATAACAATATTGATAATATTGTTTAGTTGGAGAAAGAAGTTGAAAATAGCAATGACGAATCTAATAAATTTTCAAATCAAGTGATTAAAGAATATGAAGTGTTTCAACATGCAAAAATTATAGAATTTAAAAATTATTTACTTTCATATACACAAAATCATGTTGATTTTTATCGTAAGGTAAATAATTATAAAATATTATTAAAGTTTTATACATTTATTTATTTATTTATTTATTTATTATCTATTTATTTAGAGTATTGTTCTATGGAAGGAAATTATTCCAACTTTGGAAGAAATCGAAATTGAAATATGAAATATAAAGTGTCATATATTTTTTTGTCATTATTATTATTTGTAAATTAGATGTTGTTTGCGAATTTTCGCGTCTTTTTAATATTTCTTTTTTTGTTGTTATTAAATTTTAAATGAATTATTATTATAAATATTTTTAATCAATTAATCATCGTTATTATTGTATTTGATATTTTTGATATTTATAACAAAAAAATTTTGCGTTACATGAAATAAATGTAATATTATATACAAACACCTGTTAGTCCCAAGTCAATCTTTTAGTTTCCGAATCAACTTTCCTTTTTGCATTTTGCATATCACTCCCAGCTGTTTGTTCCAACATTTTCATTTTATTAGAATCTACTATCAATATTTTCAAAACTGGCCTTCCCTTGAATTTTGTTTCGTATCCTGAACTGCTAGTGCGTATATCTGTAACTGTGATTGAGCCTTGACATGTCCATACAATAGTATCACCATAATAACTATGTTTATCGTGAGCTTCCAAATAAATAGTATCACTTTGTTCGCCTGTTGATACAAAAGGCCAACGTGAATATCTATCATAATGATCACTCCATATAGTTTGTGCCAATTTCCTTCTGGCACTTTCTAATCTTACATCGTCGTTAATACTAGTAAGATACTTGTAAATTTTCTTTCCATAATCCGACCAAGTTTTATAATTAACATCGCCGGAATTAAAAACCGGGAGTTCTTGATTCGTTTTGAGTGTTATTAAAGCTCCTTTTGCTTTGAGAATGGCAACTGTGCCTTCTGCGTTATAGTTAAGCAGTTCTCCAATTTTCGGGTATTTTTTTATTTATTTCAGATACTATTCCTGACGAACGAACGAGTTCCATTGGATTGCCACTCATTTTAAAATTTTATTTCTTAAAAATTGCTATGTTAATTACGAGGGAAAATATGATTCTTGGAACAGTAAAAGATTATTGATTAACAAGAGTAGTTCCCATCGATGTTGTTATGCAATGGAATTCGGAATCTGGAATTATGTCCAATTCAATTTTATCATAAAAAAAATAACATTCCATGTTGCAGACTGTTGAAAGAGAGGAAAAGCACTGATTAAATAATTTTAAACCTACTAAATAAAATAAAATATCAATTTTAATAGATGGTGATTTACCAAATTCCAAAACAGTTACAAAAAGACAAAAAAAAAATAAAGTCACAACATCTACCACTACTTGAAAATAATAAGAGTAATACTTCATTGACACTAGCTTCCAGCCAATCAACAGCATATGGACTAACTTCTTCATGATCATCAACACAAATTAGTAACAGAACTAGTCCAACCAATAATCAAGCTAATTCCACATCAATTGCCATTAACTTCTACAATAAGTAATCAAACTAATTTACCACCAATATGCTCCTTGACTGCTGGATGTCAATAATGATTATTTGGAATCAAATAGTAGTTATAGCAATGGTATATATATATCCTTCCCAATGCATGAAAGATTTAACAATAATAGATTACTATATAATTTTACTTATTTTTTAATAGGCAGTATTGATAAAAATACATGTTGAAAAAATACTGAATTACTGGTTGAGACTAATAAAATTGTAAAAAAATTAGATTCAAATGAATTAAAGGAATTAAAAAAAAAACTCTTGCAAGTTCTTAAAGAAAATGACAATCAGTGGTATAAGGAACTCACTTATATATATATATACATTTTCACAATTGGTATTGATTTTATAAAGATTTAAAACATTTGAATAAATATAGGAAGTTTGGAAATCTGCTACTAGAAAACTCTTGGAAAATGGATATACTTATCCAAATGAAACTGACTTTAAAGATTATTTCATTAATATTATAAATGAGCAATATGATTCAAAAAACAAATGAGATCAACAACACCCAGCAATTTGAAAAGTTATGGAGAAATATTTTGCTAAAATATTTAATTACTATGATCAATATATTTATGCCTTAATATGTTTAATATTATGTTTTTATGCATTTTTTTTTATATTGATATATTAATATGTGTTTATAGGGATAAACTACAATGAGAACAGCTCATGGATTTCTTGTGCGATGAATAAAAAATGCTATGTTTACTATATTTGGAAAAGATAAGTTAGGTTATATAAACTCACAATCTTCAATAATAGAATTAAAAGAATGAAAACTTCCTCAAAAACTGAGTGGTGTAGAAAAAACTTGTTTAAAACAATGGAAAATAATAATGATAATAATACATATATTGCTGAAATTATATCAAAAATATGGCCAGCTGGTATTCCATCTCAGAGCTCATCCTATTTTGCAATGACAGTTGTAAGTTTACTTCTAGATCCTAAATATGGAACAGATATGAAAGACAAGCATATTGTTATGAGGATGCAAAACTTCAAAGTATGTTTATATAAGTTTGTATCTTATAAACTAATTAAAAATGGTATATTTTATAAAGGGTGTAGATAATAGTGATGACATTATTATTGACTATGACAAATATGAGAGATTAGCCATCAGTGAATCAAGTGAATCAAGTGATTCCAATGATGCCAGCGATTCTGAGAAATATAGCAATCAATGTGAAAATGAATCAACACCTGGTTTTATGAATTTGAATGTCATTGAAGAAATTTATGTTAATGATATTCACTCTGAATATTATTAATGTAAATATTAAATATTGCTAAAAAATTAAAATAACACAATGTTTAATAATGAAAATTTTATGAATTTGTTAAATAAGTATTAAATAATCTTAACATAAATTCTGTATAGGGTCTATTGAATAACGTTATTTTCATCATGTGCTATATAATAACGCATTTTTAATTTCCTGATGTCACTCATGTACCATCTGACGTTTCTTCTACGGTAGAGATGATTTGTAGCTCGGTTTCAAATATATTAGCTACCTCTGAACTTTGACTTGGTTCGATGTAACATAGCGGACAGCGCGATTCGTGCTCAATGATGCAATCTTGGTAGAATAAATGTTTACAAGTTAGTATCGTGATTGGCTGTGTGAGTTGTGAGAAGATTTCATTAATAAAATGCTATGCCTACTATTAATGTTTCAGTTTATACTTGCAAGCATTTTTACGTTGGCGTTTTTTTGGTGGCAATCCAACTTTATAGTTTACAGGCTAGGCTTCCTTGCCCGAAGATTATATTCATTGCTGATTAAAGTAATATTAATATCACCACTAAGATTCGAATCAGGCTCCATTATTTCTTCTTGTTATTGTTTTCGATTAATGAATTTAATTCATTTTGAGCTTTGATTAAAACGTCATCACTACCAGTTATTGCCGTGGTTGTTGTTGTTGATATTACCAGACGGATGATATGACGGTAACCTTGATACGATTGATTCTGAAGTGTTTCTAAAGTTGAATAATTCTACAAAAAGTATACATAATTGGAATATTTGTATGAAAGTATGGACGTATGAATTTAATATATTTATATAAATAATTCATTCTATTTAAATCACCTCTCTGTAGGGATTCTATTTATAATGGATGTCGTTATCAATAGTATTCATATCTGATATATTCTTTATCAGAATTTCTAGTGATCTAATCAATTCTTTTTCGATTTCAATAAAATTTCTCATTTATTTTTCGGATAAAGAATAGATTGATCCTAGTTTTGTGACGACAAGTGGCGATAACCACCACCATTCTTATGATAAACACTTATCCACAATCATCTGCCACTCTTTTTCCTTGTTTTCTTTTTGCGTCTGCTCTTCCAGACATTGTTTACAAATGAATGGTGATATTTATAATAAAAAAAATATTCTTTATTAATAAAATATAGATTTTTTACTGCAGAAGATTATTTAGAAAAAAATTTTCCTTTTTTTTCTGAAAAACAAAAGCAATATTGAAAAGGATAGATATTGTGGAAAGAATAATAATAAGTCCTAGTTATAGGTTGATCAAAACATCATTTTTATTAGTGAGTTGATCGGCGGACGACAAATTATTCGTAAATAACTTTTCATCCACATGAGGGTTCTTCTTTGCAAAGGATCTTTTATTAAATTTATTAAATTCGTGAACAATTTCCCTTTGTACAGTCAAAGCTCGTTATAGTGGATCTCGTTATAGTGGATTTTGCCTATAGTGGACGTTTTCTATTTCCCCAATTC